GCATAATATCTGAGTAAGCTATTCGTACGAATTGAAATAATTCTTGCATTTAAACTTGTATTCCAAATTAAGATTTAACTTAATGTAGATAATTACTGAGAAAATTAGATTTTTGTAGCGCAGTTTACGTGAGATGAGATCACTTGGAATTACGTAATATGAACCAGCGAATCAGTAGGTTGAACCGTTAAAGCATAGTAAATTCTTAAATTAATGTCTTTTTACAAATTTATTGTCTTCATTTATTGGCTTATTTCATTTATTTCATTTAAAATTTTAAACGATATTAAAATGTTTGTCTTCAAAATACAAAATTCTTAGAACTAACATTTGTTAGCATTTTTTATGCGTATACTGTATGTAGTCGCCAATAAAGTCTGCTTGGTGAGATTGCGCCGGCGAAATGGAAAAGTACCAAAAGTACTATATGAAATAAACTTTCATCTAAATTAAAACATCTTAGATAGTTATTTACTATTATACTTCCTTTCTTGCGTTAGGGTTGTCATAATTATTTTTTGCAGCACTGGCATCAAAAATAGTTTGGCGATTTTTTTCAGCCCATAAAACCGAATAGTACCCCTGAATGGATGTGTGATTCACCATAGAAAAATATCCTAAGCAGAGGAAAGAGAGGTGAAATGTAAATAAACATGATGGTCTTCTAAATATCTTCCCTTTCAAACCTGTAGCAAGTTAAGTACTGGAGCGAAAATCTTTTCTGTTTCAAATCTATTATGAAGTCATCAAAAAATATCTAAAAAGTCTTACAAAAAGCAATTTAAAAAAAAAATTACGTAAATTTTTTTGAAAAAAAATATTTATTGTGCGAATATGATCAATATTTCCTAGATAATTATTCAAAAACCTTTTTTTCTTTATCTTGCATTTCCATTTAGTTGCTAAAACTTTAGATAAGCATGTTAAGAAAATTTACGCTAGATGCCATTTTAGCAAAGATGCCACCGCTCTATGAGCGGTGGAACAAGCGGTATCCCACCACGTCATGAATTACCTTAAAGGTTTACCTATTTTTTTTGCATGAAATAACATTGTATTAGGAGCTAATTATCTATGTGTAAAGTTATTTTTTCCAAAAATATTTTTATGCACGAAACCTCAAAGGGTTAAATAAATCATTTATTCTCAGTTCAAACAGCACGTGTCCTACGACTAAGTGACTTATAAGTCTGAGGCATTAAGTGAGCTCTTGGCCTGTGAGTTAATATTCAAAATCTTTTTTTTTTTTTTTTTTTTTTTTTTGTTGTTGTTGTTTCTTTTAAGTTTGCTGTTTAGTTTTGAAACTGAATTTTTCGTTGAATCACTTAAATATCTGAATCACTTTTCAGATTGTTGTCACCAAATATTATCACCCTCTGTTATACAGTCAAAAGTCGTTAATCTGGACTCGTCGGGACTTCGGCGATTCCGGATTATCGATTTTTCCGGATTATAGATCATCAGTTTAAATCTCGTAAGATGGCATGCAGAAATTCTAAAATTAAAAATATGAAACCGTAATTTATGAAATAAAGAACAATTATGATCTAAAGGGTATCAAAAATTTACAAAAAAAAAAAAAAAAAAAGCTTAATATTTATTTGTTTACTTTATTAAACATTTCTCTCAGTGTAAGTTGTTTAAGTTGCTTCATTTTATGTGATAATACTTTCTCTTTAATTCTATAAAAAGACATAATTTCTTGTTCAGTTACAAAGTTCCGCTGTTCAAGTCTCGTTAATTGCTGTGCCGAGAATACCGACTAACTTGTCAATCGAAATTTTTTCGTTTTCACTAACCTCTCTGTCACATTCTTCATGTCTTTATCCATTTTTTGCAGTAATTCCACTTTTTGTTTGTTGGACATCGAAACATACTTTTATTTTGTAGATCCTTTGGAAGTTCCAGCATCGGAAATTCTATTTGACATAATCGAAAGTTCAAGTTTACTTTTATAAATTGCTCTTACAGTCTGCAAAAAATAATAAGCGGGATCCAATTCGAAGTTTAAGGAACAACGCAATCATTAACATTAACTGAAATAGATAATTAGATCATTTTAGCTTACGCCGTCCGTTATTTCTGCACTTGCGCACACGCATATGCGCAGTAGTCAAGGTCTTACGCGCACGCGTAAAACGCCTGTGCACATGTGCCAACGCGGCGCATGCTCAGAAAGTTTTTAGCTTTGAGGTCCGGATTATAGATCATTCCGGATTATGGGTGTCCGAATTAACGACTTTTGACTGTATTTAAAGAAACTACGGTTAATCTTTGGATTATGGTAACTTGGTGATTTTTTGGCTAAAGTTTGGCGACCAACCCTGCTACAGCAACCTGCTAGTTTTGTTTTAGACGCCATTTTGTTTTCACAAAGTAAAGGCATGTTTTTTTTTTTTTTTTTTTTTACACTCAACATTTTTTTTCCAACAATCTGCTAGCCGAATTACGCTTATGCTAGAACTTTTATGGAACAAAAGTGCTTAATCATGACTAAGATTAGGTGCGAAATTGGGAGAAAGTGCAGAATCGCCCACTGCTTGCCGCGTTTTTAAGATTTGCACATCTATGTACACGTCGACCTATTTTCACTTAAAAAAAATCCCAGAATTGCACAAAAATGGCATTGCGCACACTCTTGACTTTATCCATGTACAGTGCTAAAGTCCTAGCTAGAATAATTTAACAATAAATTCAAAGATAATTAGTAGTGTTGGACTTAGAATTAATTTAAGGCTAACCAGGCTGACTCAACAACCTACCGGGCGATGAACTTATTAAATGGCCAAAAGGCCTATCAACAACTCAGCCTAGCAGCAGCAAGGACAAAGTAACAACGTGCGCTAGGCTAGCAAAATCATGCTCTGAATAAATTTCTAATTTCGTCTGTCTTTATACTCTCTTCACTTCACTTTAATTTGCATCCTACGAGGGGAAGGACTTCAGAAAAGATAATAAAAATTAGAATAATTGGTTATTTAAAGTAAGGGTTCCCTTACTTTAAATAACCAATTGTTTATTCAACTGAGCACAGCAAAGCATATAAGAGTAAGGATGCCTTCATGAAGAACTTTCTAAGGAAAACTCATCTGCATTCATGGTGGGAAAACCACGAAAATACCCAAACATCTAGATTGTGCTCCGGAATTTCAACCCCAATTGATCTACCACTATTTAAAAAAAAAAAAAAAAAAAAAAAAAAAAATTACATACTTGGTTGCTGCTAAGCTAAAAATTAAATTATGTTTGCGCGTATACTGTAATTCTAAATGTCATTATGTTATAATAGCTGGAATAGCAATAGTTTCAATGATAAAGTTAAATCACTAGTTTTGTTCAGTTAACAAAAGATAGCTTAAAATTGAAAGATAAATTAAAGATGTTATACTTTGTCGAATGACAGTATGTTGAGAAACTGCTGTACAATAGAGCATATTAATGTTTAATGAAAATCTTATATTTTGCACACTGACAGCACTTGTAAGCTCCATCTAGAGTATTTAAGCTTATTTTGTCCATCAATTTCAGAGGCATGGTCATATCTGCAAAATTTCTTTTCTAAGGACTATATTTTTCATTATAAGTATGAATAATATGCCTCCTTCTAGGTGTAATACAGTGGCAGTACTAATAAATTTAATCATAATTACATGGTAATTCTAATTAATGTACATATACAGTATAATTATAAATGTGGGTATAATTTTATTCTAGTTCTAACTGTAATTATAAATTTTGCAATTACAGTTATGTTGTGTAGTTGTACAGTTTATAACAGAATTACATTGTAATTGAATCAGCTACAAATTGTATCATGTTATAAAATACTACAAATTATATATAAAACAATTGTATGATTTGTTTATTTTACAAATGCCAAACATTAGTGCTCAAGCCATTAATTCGCGGGCTCTCAAGTACTTTTTAACAATATCCTCATACTGAGAAAGTGCAATACAATTATTTAAATGCTCAAAAATTGTAGGCTGATTGGAGTCACACAAAATACAGTTTGGGGAATCCAATTCTGCAGAGGTGGTCTTGCAAACACTCGTGTCCGATCAAACGTCTCAATAGAGCTACCATTATTTTTCTTGGAAAATCGGGAATGAAAGTTGTCTCTTCCCCCAGAATCCTCCACCTTTTATCCATAGCACGTTGAATCATATCCTGCTTAAGAATTTTCTTGAGTCAGGTTAACAAACAATTTAGTTGTATAAAATGAAAGCGGTCGATTAATGCGTTGCATTATGAAAGTTCCTTTCTTAGCCAAAGTATCAGCTTTTTCTTTTCCCAGAATTCCACTATGGGATTTGTAATACAGTTACTTTGTAATTGCTCAATTTATAATTTCAATTACATTATAATTAAAGGATTTCAAATTACAGTTACAATGTAATTACAATTATTCTTTAATATTAAGATACTTGTTATTACAATAAATTATAATTACATTGTAATAACAAGTATAAGTAATTACAATGTAATAAATTGCATTGTAGTTGAATTACATGTATTTGCAACTGCTTGTAATTCAAATGATTATCAGTTAACATCGTTAATTGAATTATGCCGAACTGTGATAGGTATGGTTTCCAAAAGTGAATTTTAACCCATTAATGCTTGTAAGAAAAACAATCAAAAAGAATAATTTTTTCAGTTGAGGGTATTAAAATATAAATATTTCTTGAATGTTAGAAGTCTTGAAAAGTGTATAAAACTGTTTAACAGAAGTTCTAACAGTATACATTTATATTTATTTCAGAAGCAGAAATTTTAAAGTCACACTTAGGGCTTGTGCACTTAAAGGCTTATACTCCTTATACTCTGAAAAAATATTGGCTTATATTTTGATATCCTATAAAATCTCAAGCTGCCTGTATGTTAAAAATCATTATTTTGCACACTCCTGTTTAAAAACTGGAACATTTTTACAACAGTTATAAATTATATTGTAATTTATTCAAGCCAAATATCGATAATTTACCTTATACTTGCAGGGCTATGGGAGAGCAGATCATTTAATGACCTGTCGCCTTCTGAAGGAACGTTATCCCGATTATGCCAAAATAGACTTTTCCAATGATGGCTACTGAATGCACATGGAGCAATCTTCCTTCCTTCCAATCTAATATTCAATTTGTTGCATGAAGCCGCATAGCTCTATTGCCAAAATGCATGTGTGTATTTATCTCAGTACTTTCTTGGAGAGTGATATGTGACTGTGATGCGAAACATTTTGTTTAACAAAATGTAAATGTACATTCTTCATGTTGTGGGATGTTATTTATGAAAATTACAGAATTGTTTAAATTTGAAAGTTTGTCTTTTGCATACTATTTGCTTATATGTGTATAAATAAACTGTACAGTGCAAGTGAAGCTAAAAAAACAACAAAAAGACTATTACTTATTAAATTATTTCATTATCATTTCAGTGTGAATATTTTTAAATATCCATGAATTAGTTGAACAGTAACATACTTCAAGATTACAATGTATCCTATTTTATCTCTGGAAATGTTTAAAAATAATGAAATGCACTTAAATTACTTTAGGTGGGACATGTGTAATTTTGGTGTGGGGCTTAGTCACACCTGAAATACGGAGATTAAATTTTCTAATAGCGATTTAAATTTTAACTGACCTAGTGGGGAGGCCATTCATGAAAGTTCTCAAAGAGTGTAATTATGTAATTTCAAGTAATGTATTTTTGATTATCTGCACACTCCTGGTTTCAACATTTGGCCGAAATGCTGTGTTTTTGACATATTTATGAGTATACATCCCATAACAGCCAACTCATGCAGGGTGTGTACACATACAAGTTTGAGTGCACATGGATTTATACACGTCATTTTGCTGAACTGTAAACACTGGTTCTAAAAATGTGAATAACAGCCACATAACCTTCTGTTTTTTTTTATTTCTTGTTTCTTTTTAATAATATTTATGAACAAAACACTGCTTAAGAGCGTTAAAAATAGCTAAACAAACACTTTTTGTCAATTTACAAAGTTGCCAGTGTGTCTGCTTTTCGTGAAGGTGTGAATAATGAGAAATTACTGTGAAATTCAATATTTAATATGATATTTGTAATGTGTGTACTAATGAATAATTGTCAAAATGCTGAAATGTCATAGTGGACTAGATGGCATGTAAACTTGTGTGTCTCTAATTAAAAACGTGTAGCCATTGCACGGCTAGTGAAGTGAGTTCAGGGAATTTAGTGATAAGTATGGGGCTTTGCATATGCACGGTAGGAAGTTATGTTTTCTTGTTTGTGAAGAGTATGACACTTTTACTGATGGCATTCGTAATGTTATTGAGGTAGTTGGATAGCAGAGATATCTACGAAGAATAAAATTTCATTATCCTTATTTGATAGAAATAAAACACAGATTATTAACAAGAAATATAGCATCGAAATACACTCACAGATATATACTTTTGTTGAAGTGCAAATTTATGAAGATCATACTACTGTAAAAACTTTCCTGTATGGTTTTAATTGTAACAAAATTATATTTTTTATCTAGCTGTAGTACATTATGTGCATAGTAAGTTGACAACTTTATATAGCATTACATACTACTATAGGTTTCAGTAATGTTCACCAATAGTCTTCAATTCTTTGGGTTGTTATACGAGACTCGAATGTCGAAAAAATATTATTAAAAAGATGTCATTTCTTTATTGTTTATAAACTATAGCTTACAGAAACTTCAGCAATTAGCATGAATCTTCATTTACTTATTTTCACTTATTTTTTTTTTTTTTTTTTTTTTTAAGTTGGATAGAATAACATTAGCATGCAAATTTGCCTTTTATTTTACGACCTATTCGATTCCATTTTTTAAGGTTTCCCATTCGTTTTTCATATATAGGTATGAGTAAGTTTTACAGGTTAGGCAAATAGAGAAGGCTTCCACACTTTAATTATCTCTATAGACATCAAAGGGGTGTTCGACATGTTAAGAAATTGTAATACTTATGAGAAGTTATCTGGAGGGAAGACAAGTGCAGATTGCAACAGATGGGGGAGTTATTAAGCTAGATTTTGGAAGAGGGTGTCCTCAAGGCTCATGTCTGGGGCCCACTCTGTGGAACCTTGTAGCAAATACAGCCTTTGAATGTTTACAAAGACAATGTTGAGTCAAGCTCCAGGCATTTGCAGATGACTTGCTGATAGTGGTGACAGGGAGAACGGACATAGAGAGCAAAGCCCAAAATGCAATTGATTACTTCATGGAATGAGCCAAAGAACATAAATTGGAAATCTCTCAGACAAAGATCAAACTACTTTTCATTGGGTGTAAGAGTATCTCACAAAGAAACCCCACATTCAAGCTAAGTGGAGTCCCATTAAACTGTGTTTCATCTTTAAAGTATTTAGGTTTCATACTCACTAACAATTTTTCATGGATGCCTCACATCCAGGAGCTGAAGCAACATTGTGCACAATTAACTAACTCCATGCTCTGTACAATGAGGGTACACTGGGGCACACCACCCTGAATTCTGAAAGCATGGTACAAAACTATTACTGAAAGGATTATTCTGTATGGAGTGCAGTATGGGGCAAAAAGGTCACAACAAGTATGAGAAAGGCACTTCTAACATGCAGAGAATGCAACTGCTATTGATCTGTAAGGGATATAGAACCACGGCACTCCAGATTCTAGCAGGACTCCCGCTGCTAGACCTAATTGCAGAAAGAGAGTCATTAATTTCAAGAGTGCACTACCTTGAAGAAGATGGTACACTTTGGCAAAAAAAACCTACTTAGCTAGGAATTATGAAAAACACAGGCCGGAGTTATTGGGTCACCTTGCGGACATTGATCTGAATCCTAACATCTTTTTTAATTACTTGACTCCACGTACGGCAGCACTCTCGCTATACACAGATAGATCCAAGACCGCAAAAGTTATGGGAAGTGCCTTTTGTGCTATAAAGGATAGAGTGATCTTGTATGAGTGGAGAAGACAACTGAACGAATTCAACTCAGTATATCAGGCTGAATTAGCCGTAGGAAAGGCAGCCTTAGTATATGTGAGAAATAATTCAGACAGAAAAGTAGCCATTTTTAGTGACTCTGCCTCCAGCCTGGAGGCCATAAAAGTCGGAGTTCACAAGTACAGGAAATTCGCAGTCTGCTCCTTCAGCAATCACAAGCAGCCCGTTCCAGTCTTCATTGAGTCCCGGCCCATGTAGGGATCCAAGGCAATGAAGAAGCAGACGGCAGTGAAGTCAGCAGCAAATGATGTGGGTCTACTTGAACATCCAGTGAAACTTCCAATCTCCCAAATTAAGAGTCGCACATCAACAGGTCATTGCACAGTGGCAACAGAGGTGGGAAACAGCAAACAACGGCCGACGAACCTATGAATTTTTTCTGAAATTGAGGGAAGCACTCCGAGTCAATAATATTGGTGAATTAACCCACTACTTCACAGGCCATGGTCTTTTTGAATCTTATCTACATCTCTTCCACCTAAGTGAAACAGATACCTGTGGCTGTGGAGAAGTGGGTGACCTAGATCACTATCTCTTCTCTTGCCTCGATACTGCTCATCTTCATCAAAATAAACCAAGCCAGCAATTTCAGCCTCAATGGGCAGAAAATTTGATTAAGAATAACATAGCCAGAGTAAAGCTGAGAAAACTTATTGTGTACTGTACAACAAAGAAATCAGCTGTAATTGGGCACAACAGGACAACCTCGATCAGAAATTAACTAAATAGCTATGTACACCTTTTTTTCAGAACATCATAAGTCTCTATGATTGTAATACTATGTAATGACCCTCTGCAAAGCAGAAGCATGACAATAGGCCTCATTACATAGTTTCATTAGTAGTATAAACACCTCCTCCTTCAATAGTACCTGCATGCATGCTGTTTTTTTGCGTGTGTTCAATTGTAACTGCATTTATATACACTCTGCATCTATGTATAATCTTTGTTTCAACTGTATTATGATTGTTACCTTGTTCAATTCTAATATCATAATTGCTTCATTCAACAGAGCAAGTAATTTTAATAGCACCTTCCATGCATTGTTCAATAGCATTTTGTAAAGTTAGCCTGAAAGTGGTATAAGTATTCTAAATGTTAAGACATGTATCTGTAATGCAGCCTCATGTAACTTAGATTGTAATATTGTAACTGTGCTTGTTAAGTCCTAAATTTAATCTGTATCTGAACACAGGACCATCAATGATCTCACTTAGTCGGTGATTAGGACAAGATTGTGTAGCCTGCAAGGACATTGCTGTAAATAGCATTGTGATTTTCTTATTCTTCATGTGTTTGTAGCAGTCTGTTCTGCCGACCCTCCTACGGAGGGGGAGCAGCAGCATTAGATTACTTCTGCAAGGAGGACAATAATGCTGTGAAGCAAATCTTATAGCTGTAGGGTCAGCAGTCCTCTTCTGCAGTGTAAAAGGTTTAGGCCTTGACAAGAAATCTGTTATTTTGGATCTGAAAATTTAGCCGGATGATACAGTAGTTGTAAGTAATTTATTTGTACTTACATTAATGATTTAATTTTAAGTTGTTTCATCTTAATTAAATTTAATTAGTACTTTGAAGTTACAATATAAATTTTTATAATTTTTAAAACTGTAGATTAAATTACACAAAGTAGTTTCGATGATAGTAATGATTTACCTTCAAAGTGCTAAATTTGTGATTGTTGAATTGCTATGATCACTATTGAAGCAAGTGACTGGCTTATTATTTTCTGTTTTAGCTATTACATAACTTTCTTGAATATCTTCTTATACTTGAACACATACATTGAAATCTACATATACATTCTTTTTTACACTTTAAATCATAACTTGCAGCTTTTTATTTTAACTGTAACTCAGTTTATTATTTTCTGTTTTAGCTACTGCATATAATTTGAGTATCTACATATATTTGAACACATACATTGAAATATACATTATTTTTTACACTTTAAAAGGTAACTTGCAAATTTTTATTTTAACTGTAGCTCAGTTTTTCTAACTCTTGTTTACAGATGAGTATTTTAACCACGTAACTCTTGATCATTCCTTCTTAATTTCTATTGAACAAAATTTTTGGTTATAGTTCTATCATCTTTCTTTTTTGCTATAGTGTTGTTGCAGTTATTCTGCAATTTAATTAAGACTGTTTATTTTAGATTCATCAAAGAAATATTTCATCTAAAATATAATTTGTAACATCAGAATCATATTAACATTCTGTATTTATGAAAAGGGTTTATATTATAGTAAACCCTTGTTAACACGAATCTCAAGGGACCAAAAAATCAAGAGTTTGTATTTAAAAAAATTTGTACTAACTGAAGACTCAAGTTTTATTTCTGGAATAGTTGTTTCTATGTATTAACTATTTGCAGTGTATAGCTACATAAGTACAATATATTGTGTATGCCATCATAAAAAACACAACAATACTGCATTAATTACTGTCCTGTAACATGAAAAAATGTATTCACATGCGGTATTTTGGTGAAAAATTTCTGTGTCACTAACAGGAAAGAAAATGCATGGCTTGTATAAAATGGATAACTTATCCTCATATATTACTTATATATTATGGAATATAAATTAGTATCATAATTTCTAATATTGGATTTTGCAAGTTTGAACTGTAAACATTAATACTTATTACATTAAAAATATTATATTTTTTTATATCTATAGGATTTTATTTTAGTTAACCAGTTCTCTTATTATTTTTTACTTTCATTAGCCACCAACAGAATTCATATTATTTTAAAATGTAATTAAATTTAGCAGAGAGTTTAGTAGAGAATTGTTAGTAACTAGGTTGACCTATATTCTACTTTGTGATTCTGCTGTTTCCATTAGCCTGCCAATAAAGATCGTTTAGTTTAATTCTTCATTGAAAATTAGACAGGGAAAACCAAACTGTAAAATAAGCTTTGCATTATATTGTGAATACTCAAGTTTATTTTTAATTTGATTGAGAAGCTTACTATTTTTCCTGCAAGTTAGCAAATTTCAGTTTGCACACCCATCAGGTTGATGTGTTAATAAATATTTTATTTGGTTATGATAATTCTAATTAAGAAGTCAGTGAGATGAAAAGTCGTTCAATACTGATTAGTTATTTGGTACTTAATTTTAAACGTAGTATCATAACTATATACCTTTAAGTGAAGCATTTTTTAACGTATTTCGTGTTATATATCTAGAATGTATGACTGGTCGAACTTCCTGCACCGTCATTAGAGGCTTAACAGGGCTTAGGGGAGCTATTTAATTAAAGAACCATTGAGATCTAAAACAAGGCCTAAATCAAGCCCATTAAGTAGTAGTATATACATATATTTATTTTCATACGAAAAGTTTTTCAAAAACAATAGTGGCAACAGCTGTTTTCTGTTTATCTGATCTTTTTTTTTTCATCTGTCCCAATCAGGCATAAAATAAGAAATCCCGAGAGAATTATTAGAGTGCATGCTGGGATAAATGCAAGGAAAAGCTCAAGAACTATTAAAAGGCTTATAAAATGTAATACATTAATTGTTCTAATGTACGTGCTAGTGTTAATGTAAAATATTAGAAACATCATTCTGTTGTTAAAAATTTTCAAATGTGTGAAGAGTTATTTGTTACATAATTAATTTCGTTGAGCAATGGTTAAAAATCATAATTTTTTCTAACATTTTGTTAAGTTTCAGATTTTGATTAATTGGGAAATCATCTCCCAAGTCATATGCATGATAAATGCATAATAGTGTGACATAATATTAAATGATCATATTAAGTAAAAGTGAGTTAAAATAATCTAGGTTGATTTGATGAAAAACTGTTTAAACATAAATAGGAGCATTTCACATATCACTCACTGCTTTGTCAGCTGAGGCGATAATAGATGGTCTGACAAAGTTTATCACTTTCTGTACTCAGAATCAATGTCCAGATGTTACAGAAGATTGAAAATTTCTGTTCAATATTGTTTGGTGGTAATTTCAAGGACTTTTCTAATTTTGAGGCTGTTTTTATGCTAGGCTTTGACGATGATCCCCCCCCCCATTAAATCAAATTTAAAAAAAATCATTGCCATTAAAACAGCCTCAAAAGTAAAACACTTGAAATCTCCATCAAACTGTATTCCAACAGAGACGTCCAACTTCTATACATCTGGATGTCAATCCTGCAGAAAGCAATAAAACAAGACACTTAATCAAATCACTCATTCCAGGTCCAGATGACAAAAAGCAAACATGTCATTTATGAAAGCTGCGTTTTATGTGTAAGTATAGTTTCAGCTTGTCAACCTAGAATATTTTATCTTGTTTCTAATTTCATTTTAACCGTGCATGCCAGTTAATTACTCAACATAATGTAATGAACTCAAAGTCCAGAAATTTTAAAAAAAATATGGCTAAGGTTATTTCTAATGTCAAAATGAAAGTCCGATATTTAAGCATTTAATTTGTGTAAAAATAAATTGCGGATTTATTAACATTGTCTCAAAGAGTTATTTTGGGGAGATTATGCAGAGTGAGTCAAATATTTTCAAATAAAAGATTTAGTAGATATATCTTAATTCAGAAAATGGACTGCATTTATTACTTTCATGCAGAAGTGGGACTCTTTAGTGCCTAACTGTAATTAGTAAATTTTTGGATAAAGAACAGATATATTTTGGATAAGATCTGGCCTTTAAAAAATTCAATTTTACTCTTTTGCATAATTGAAGTTATTATGTAGATAAGTGCTAATACAAAAAGTCTTTTCACAAATCCTTAGCTGATGAAATTCACAGAAGCAAAATGAATATAATTATTTGCTATACAGATTAAAACCTTTCTTCAAATAATTGGAGCTGAGCTGAATGGTCTATTTTCCTATCATAAAACCTATTACAAATCTTGATGCTTATCTGTAGCAAGATGTTACGAATTCTATTACTTAAAAAAACAGGTTTCGAAAATACTTTCTTACAGAGATATTCCAAGATCTGTTATATATTGTTTCATTCTTTTTTGTTATTGAAGTAAATATTCCCATTAAACTGTTTTTCATATGATAAAGGCACAGTGGCAAATATTTCCATATTTTATTTATTCTGGTTAAATGCATGAGGCATTGTATTTCAGCTGCTTAAATATATTCCTGTGAACAAAATGTATAAACATACATTTTTCCCCCAAAATTTTAAAATTATTCTATTCGATCTAAAAGCATGTACAGTTCTTTAAAAAGTGTAGAACTACCTCTGTTTAAAACTCAAAATGCATAATTTTAATTAAGAAATCTCACCATTTCTCAAACAACATAATAGGTACTTTCTTCTAAGAGCCGTATAAACGAAGAGAAAAAAATCTGCAATGAGATTATATGTTATACACATATAATCACTAGAATAGTCTCATGACAACCATGGGTAGAGATGAGAACAAACCTGCTATTAGCAACAACAGCATTGGGTAGTTTATAGAACAGATGAACAAGTCCTGCAAGTCAAGAGAATGATTTTGCCCAGCTGTATATGAATTTTGATGAAAGAGGAATTCAAGGATACTGTACTACTATTGTAGCCACTCTGAAAGATCATTTTGCTCAATTAACTTTTCATGTCCCATGTAACAAACATTATACAAATAAGGTTTCTCTAGGATTCAAATCTGAGATCACTGGTATGACAGCCAGCTGTGCTAATCATGATTATACTATCTGGTACAGCATATGGTATGTTAGTTAATAAAGATCTCATTGCAACATATATAGTTGATTAATTCATGCATATTCAATAGTAAAAATATTAATGACTTAATTGTATATGTTCAGTTGAATCATTGTATATATGATTAGTATATAGAGTTTTAAAAAGTGCATTCTAAATAGCAGTAAAGCAAGGGTTCATATTTCAGGTATTGCTCAAAATTTTTGATAATTATATGTTTAGAACAAAGATGCAAGTTTTTTAACTTTAAAATAAAAAGTAACTTATTTTTTGGAAGAATTTATTGCTTATAACCACACATCACCCATGGCATAACAAGAATGACAGCAATTACAGAAATCTTCCAAACAATGCAACAAGAAACAATTTTATAAAGTTCTATCTGAAATATTTATACAAGGCTTAGTTACTATAGATTAATAGTTTAAACACATATTTTTACATAGAGATGTATGTATATAATATATATGTATATCATCACAGTTATATATAATGAAATACTGCAATATTTAAAGTCTTAGAAATGTAGAATAATATTCGTTGTTATTTATCACTGGAGGTGATGCAAGCTCCTGTAGATATATTCTCCAGGATATTTGTGGCACACTATTAGCAGAACTGGTGCCAAGTATTTTTCTGATTTTGAAATGTGTTAAATGGTATATGCCATTATTTGTATATCTGTTTATTCACTCTAATGAGCAAATATTAATTTCTAAAAAATGCTTTACCATATGAATATTTCAAATATTTTAACATTGTTATTTAAAGTATGACACACACGACAGAAAATTATATAATTTCAATACGAAAAACCCAATATTACTTTTGCTTTCTTGCAAATTTAAATTAACAGTTTTGCATATTGAAATTATCAATTGTATTTTGATTATTTTTTCATAACTTAATTTGTGCATTAATTTGCATGTAAATAACATCAGCATTATTTTTGTAATTAAGAAGTGATGAAAATTTCAAAAGTTTGCATTTTTTCATCCTAATTTCTAAAGTAAATTGAGAATTTATGTAGCAAAATAGCTTTTTAATTACATAATTCTATTAAAACATTGTTGGTACTTCTTGAATCACATTTATAACAAATAATGAAAGGAAATCTGTCAATACTGAGTGCAAATGTAGTAAGTTTTAAACATGACTGCAAATGTTACATTGGCTATTGAAATTAAAAATTTTATTACACATATAATAACAAACTTTTTACAATTTTGTAAATACAAAAATCAAAACCTTTAAAAATATAAATACATATTTTTGTAAAAGAAGTAAATGGCACCAGCACTGTTTGTAGGAGCTTCAACTTGTGTGCTTTTCTAAAATGGAAAGACTACTTTTGCATATGTAGTGAGTACATGAGAAGTTCAATATTAATTTGTCTGTCTGCATGACAGTAGTTCAAAAGGGTTACAGAGAGGGTGTTTCTTCTGAGATAAAATATTAAACACATTCGTGATGAAAGTATGATTCCAAAAACTAGATCTTTTTAAAATTAAAAAAAAAAAAAAAGTTATATAAAGCTTTTTAAATGAATTACAGTCAACTCCCGATTAACTGTGGTAATAATACTGGAAACAATGTCGGTTAACTTAAATCACAATCTGGAGGTAGTTACTTTAACTACACATAAAAGATGACGAACTAAATCACTAATCAAAATTTCTAACTCTCTCAAGAATAACCATTAATTTCATAGTGCACTTGCTATTCATTTTTACTGTATTCTTTACTTGGATAGGGTTTAATACGAGACATAAGACACATTCAATTTATTTTAAAAACTGAGCATCTTACTTTTAATACTTAAGTTTTTTATTCTGGATTATGTGCAAATTACGTATTGTTGTAACTAAAACGCACTCCCAAAATGCTATAACGGTATCAATCATTGCTGTTAACCATACATTACTCCTTCCCGTACTATACTTGTAGCTTAGTTGATTGAGAGTTGACTGTATGTAATTCAAAGTTAAAAAAAAAAAAAGCTTTTACATTTTTATTCTTTGTTAATTATTAAGTTGTTTGTTATAATCCAGAAGCATACAAATGAGATGTTATTCCAATATGGAATCAAAACATCAGTGTCAAGATAATTCATGCATTAGAATGTTCATCAGTTATTATCATTGAAAGTAATGAGTAATTAAAAGAAAAGTAAGGCACTCTAAAACTAAAATCTTGACTCAAACAAATGAATTTAATATTTCATAGGAAAAGTGCTCTTCCCCCATTTACATTAAGGTAATAGTCTGGAATTTTACATGTTTAATACAATTAAATTATATATTTATTTATCCAATGAGAAAAATAAACTGATCAAACAATTTCACATGTTTTGAAAATAGGTTTTTTAAAACAAAAACCCAAATTTAGAATGGTATAATAATAAAGCACAGGAATATAATTAAAAAGAAGAGCTTTTTAAACATCCCCACAGAAATATATCTAATAGAAATTGGGGGGGAGGGCGGGGAATGAGGACTAATGTTTGATAGATATTTAAATTTTTTAAAATAATGTCCCTATTATTTTGTAATATCCTTTTTTATATCAGTCATAGAATTTTAATTTTTATGCAAATTAAATACCATTAATTTTACAGTAAACTAAATAAGTCTACTTTCAATAATAATGGCTGTTATTTTCTAATTAAGATGTTTTAACTGCAGTAAACTGTATACTGCAATAATGTGACACATTTTATTAGAAAATTCTATAATGAAAACACATTCATATAATTTTAATATAATCATGAAACATAAAAATTAGGAAGTAAAACTAATATATTTCTGCTTAAGAAAAATGACGTTATTTATAAGAGTAATTAACAAAATTCCATTTTCACTGCACAGACACAATTACAAGTTGATAATAAAAATTTTAAAAACACTAAGTCAAAGAATACCTAGTTGTAGATGTATAAACATAACACTGAATGTACTTTACATGTGTAAATGTGCACAACAACATTCTTACACTAGCACAGTATGTATATATTTTCATTTAATATTGCTCAGTTCAAGATTTGAGACACCGAAGAATTAATGAAAGTGCCACATATACAATATATATCTATATTATGCAAATTTTTGTAAGTTACACCAAGAATAATATCTTAGTATATGGAAGTACATTCATAAACAATCAGAAATCACCTTGGAAAATAACAATAAATTACATTCTAAGGCCCCTTCCCCCTTCTTCCAATACATTATTTGCATATTAGTACATAACTTCATATATAAATATTTCCTGTTAACCATATGGATGCATATGATTAGGTGTCTAGTATTACCAGATAAAGACTAAAAAAAAAAAAAAAAAAAAAAAAAAAAAATTACTCTTTGAAACTTAAAAGTGCTGGAAATGATTTGAGAATACAGAGTTTCATACTTAGTATAAGTGAATTATTATATTTATATACATAAATGCAAAATCAAAATATGTTTTCTCATTTTAAATTTTCCTCACCCGAAAGTGGATTAATACAAATTGCAGACATTCTTTTAAACTACTTATGACATTTTTAATATATATAAGTCCAACCTCTCTTTGGAAGTAGACTCTGGGAACCATTCTCCCATACAATATGGACACAACACAACAATTTTAATGTGCAGTGGATATCTACTTAACCCCTTCATGCACCAATAAAAATTCAGAGTAGTATTTTTCAGCAATTTTTTTTAGTCCTTAACTCAGAACTGTAGTTGGAGGGGGGGATCTTGAAAAAGTTATTTACTCAAGTGCGTGGAAATAATTTAATTCCATGTACCTAAGTTAACATAGTTGAATTAATTAAGAGGTTATAATTCTCTTCCAGCTAATAAATAATCTTTATATAGTGCAAATTATGAAAAGTCTAAACTCAAGAATATGCATTTAACTAAATAATATTTTGTAATACTTCATAAATTTAGAATATATTACTTAACAAAAATGAGACTGCCATTTTCATTCCTTTTTTTTCTCTAATAAGTTATCAATGTTCTACACTATTTACTGTTAGGGTGATCACTGAATTACTGGAATTTAATATGTGTACATAGTTAAAACAATTTAAAATGCCATAGTTTTCTCTTTAAAAAAATATTTTTGGTTAATTGATATTGAGTTTCAATTAATGCGAAACATAATATACTGCAAAACTGTTCTAATATTAATATCAAAAGTTTGATTCTAAATGAAAATCTGCACTCGGGCAAATAACTATAGTAAAAAAAAAAAAAAAAAAAAAAAAAATATTATCCTCTAAAATTAACATTTCATATACAGTATCCCTGACTTAAGATAATAGTTCAGAATTTTATACATCTTTAATAAAATTAAATCATATATCCGTTTATCCAATGAGAAAAATAAACTGATAAAACGATTTTTACACATTTTAATAATAGGTTTTAAAGCAATCAAAATCAATTTCTCCTGATTATTATTTTATATAAAATATTCAATATTCAACTTTTTTAAAAAATTGTTACATTTCCCAAAATAGTTGACAGAAATGAAGGAAAATAACTAAAGACTAATGTTTCATGTATATTTAATTTTTAAAACATTTTTCAAATATATCCCCAGTTTATTTATTTATTGAGTAATGCATGTTTAAAAAGCAATCAAGTTTTTGCATAAGAATATCTATTCAAAGTTTTTTAATGTCTTATTATTTACATTATCGATTTAAGAAATTTAATTAAGAACTAGTGAACATGATAAAAACTTTCTGAAATAGCCCTAGCATTCATCTACCTTCCTTTTTGTAATTACTGCAAGTAAGATTATTGCCCCCCCCAAAAAAAAACAGTTTTGAAAAGGCAATCTGTATTCAGACAGAACATATAAAAGGATGAAAAAGGTTTCCAGCATTCATTAAAAACCCATTACAAAAATCATTTTGATATGAATAATCTAATACTAGTGAAAAATAGTGTAGAATTTTAAATTTAAATGATGCAGTTAAAGTTTATACACTTATTTTGATAACTTTGGCACAGTTTGAGATGATTTACACACACAACGAAGACACATTCAGCAAAGCACATAATATACTGCAAAACTGTTCTAATTACACCGACAAAATGACCACATTAAGATCTTTTATCTAACACTCAGACATTTTTTAAGTCTTTATTACACTTAGGACAATTCAGAAAAATCCACTTTATTTTTTATTACTGAAGAAATGATTTCTAAACTTAAGTTCTCATTTTCATATATGCTTTGCCAATATAAGCACATTTTTACATTAAAAGAAAAATGTGCATATTACAAACCAGAAAAATTTTGAAGTATATAAGGGAAAAAGGTTTAATCTAAAGACATGCTCTCAAAGAAAATTAAATACAACATTATTTTAATATATTTAATCTAAATATTTACAAAGGAGAATGACCAACAATAGGTAAATAAATTTAAAATTACTATTAATAATTTTTAATTATAGTCACTATTCATTAAGTATATACTAACAATGGCTAAGTGATTAAAATACTTACTGTTGGAAAAAAATTTTAAAATGTTTCCTAATTTACATATATTAAAACCAGTAATAATCCATACAACATTATAAACAGAACAGTATTAAGTGCACTCAAAGATATGCCTTCTTTTACATTTTGATCAATCTCAAATTCGTGCCAAACAGCAACATTAGCTTTTACTGCCTACTATACACTTACAACCACCATACATTTAAATTAACAATTTTTAAAATTTTTTCTTGAGTTAAAACAGCAGCTCAAAACACATATTTGTAAGATTTATTTATAATAGGCATCACAAGGAGAAGAATAAAAACAGGTATAAATGAGTTTTGAAATGACTACCAATCTAAATTTGGCATAATATATATTTTGTCTCATTTTACTTCTACCTCTGATTTAGAATTCAGTTCTAAATCTTCCTTTAAACATTTTGTAAGCATCTATACAAAACTCCAGCTATTTGCTAAAAATAATATAGAAGTTTTTTCCAGTTAATAAATATATCACTGTAAAGCTTACTTCAAACTAAAATTGAAATTTTATTTTCACTGAAGTTGCCTCTAAAAATGATATAATATTCAACAAAGTTAATTTTCTCCCAAGATACTATAGTTAATACATAACAAATTTGAAAAAGAATATAAAATTTAAATACTGACATAATTTCAGATTTGAATTAAATTAAATTTGTAACAGAAAAACTGTTAAAATACAACTGTTACTCTCACTGATAAATACACAAGGCACCTAAATCTCATCATATAAGTGCAGGAACTACAACGTTGGAACATGCCCAATAACAATAACATATATTAATATACAATAATTAGAGGCAACAAAAATTCAAATACAATGATAAAGTATTCTGTTTACTGATAGCTCATATTCTTGCTGTTATTTGGAGGGATAACTTGGACTTGGTATAGAATATGCTTGCTGCGACACCAACTAAATGAATTATCAAACTTCAGTATATCTGAAAAACATATATATTATTTACAGAAAGTAGTTAATAACTAAAAATACCTAAATATCAATGAGTAAAATTAAATCAATCTAGAATAGAAAATATCAAGATACTGCAAGATATGCAGTTAAAACTCAATTGTTAGCTTACATGGTTATCTTTTAATGGCATCAAGAATTAAAAATTAAAAAAAAAAAAAAAAAAAAAAAAAAAAAAAAAAAAATTGCAACAGAAATTCTAACAATCTGTGACCACCGAATCTATAAATGTTGTGCACATTTTTTAACGTAAACTAACAGGGATTTCCTTACTGATATAAAAACACAAACACACTTTTAAAGAAAAATACATCAATTTTGATTGAAGAAGTGAATTTTATTTCATTAATGAAGTCATTTAAAATTCTTTGTACATTAATCAACAATTAAATTTGTGTTTATGAAGTTAACATGAGTAGAGAATGCATCTATCTCCAGCTTTTCAAATATTTAGTTCCAAATTAAATAGATATCACACTTGGTGGTTTATTTACATTACTTGTAATGAGCAAGCTTGCTTACACTGGCAAGAAATAATGGCAGATTATATATAAATTCATATATATTATATATATAATATATATTATATATAAATTCATATATATATATTATATTCAAATAATGGCAAGAAATGGGCAGATTCTCAAAAATAGCACTTGCAAAATATTTTTTGCCTATAAAATTAATAAAAATTCCTTCTTGATAAATTCAAAATTTCGATTCTAGTGCTTTTTAGCTGCTAGTAGTGTTAATTCAATTGTCCATGCACAGAATGTAATTAGTGTAGAGTTTCAGTTTACAAAAAATCATACAACTGGGAGTTTTTTAAAGTGTATTTATATATCTTTTCCTCTTTTGTTAAAGTGTAAAAGCATTTTGAAAATAATTTCACCGCTGAATGCATAAATTATTTTTATACATCAAATACTCCTGTTTTTTTACAAAAACAGTTAATTATTTATTAAAAAATATTTATCATTTATCCCATTTTTTCCACTATTACACTCCTTTCCTTTTGTACTGACATTACTTTCTTTGTATATATATGCATTAAAAATATAATAGTTTCACATCCAATAAACTCTGAATAAACAATTTATGTGGTATGATTTGGTTAATCCAAATTTAAACAAATTTTCCAATTTTTAAAAAGCAAAACACATAAACAAAACCCTGGAAAATATGATCCATAATTTTCAAAATCTATAATTTGCATGATCCTTGGTCTCAATGTGTATGATTTATCAGAATTCTACTGTTTATTACAGTACAAAATCTGAGATCCGGACTTAAGCGACTCCAGATTTTTTCGGATATTAGATAAACAGTTTAAATTTGGTAAGATGACATGTAGAAATTATACAATTAAAAATATGAAATAATAATGATTTCTGACCTTAACAGAGTCAAAATTAATAAAATAAAATAAATAAAAAGAGCGAGAACAAAGCTCAGTATTCTTTTGTAAGATGTTTAATTTGCTCCATTTTTTTTGGTGCTAATATTTTAATTCTATACATTTTTTCTTGTTCAATTACAAAGTTCTATTGCTCAAGTCTTCTGTCACATCAAGAATTTTCACTTAAAATGCCAACTGAAATTTCCTGTAATTTTCTTCTATAGATAGCAGTATCTTCTGGATTTCGCCATCTAATTTAATCTTTAACATATTCTTTATTTTTCTTACATATATATATGTGTGTGTGTGTATCTTTAAGTATATATATACATGCATCTTGAAATATACTCAAGAAAATAAACCAATATAATATATTAAAAGTATATGAATCCATGTATAAGCTTCCAGGAAAAGAAATACTTCTAGTTTTGGGCTGTGCTGATCAGAGGGTTAAAATATTTTCCTTAGTATATTTTTTCATTAACTCACACAAAAGCCTCAACCGTTATGTGCTATCTTCAGAAAAGCACAAGCTCTCAATTATTGTACAGTCTCCGATTTTCTTTTCAATAATTGTAACTAAATAATGATACACTAAAACTGTACAAAGGATTGAATCCAAATTTTTAAGGAATATTAATTATATCGGGATTCAATGAAAGTTTCCTGCCACCGCAAATAGTTCGCATTGCCGTGTTTAATCATATTTTTGTCAAACGATTTTTGGCATTTGAAAGAAAGAGACTTGCTTTAGAACACTCTATTGTGAAATTTGTAAAAAAATATCACTATCATTAAATACAAGGTATCTGAAATGGAACTATCATGCTACCAGATTAGAACCATCATTTACTTGCTAAAAGGCAGATACAGAATGTCACCAAATGATGTGTATAGCTTTAGGTGCTAATGTCGTTTTATATGACACTGTGAAGGTTTTGTACCAAAATTAAAAAACAAGGACTATGACATTCAAGAAGCACAGTGCTTTGGTAGGCCTACTAATGTTGACTGCGAGAACTCGTGGAAGAAAATCAGTATGCAACCACTCAAGAGCTTGCTAAGGAGTTAGACATTAGTGCCATATCCCTTTATCGTGCTATGCATTACGCAAACTTGATGTACAAGTTTAATCGCTGGGTATTGTCACTTGTCATGATAAGTGGATTTACTTCAACAACACAGGCTGAAAAGAGGTTGGTCTGCGCCCGCTGGGTCCGTTGGCAGAATCGCAATGAAAAATTTGACTAACAAAAAGATCATGCTTTGTACCTGGTGGGACTGCTGCGGTATTATCCACAAACAGTGTCTGGAAAAAGATAAACCCTCAACAGTAAGGTTATAGCAAGATGCTAATCCATGATGCTGCAATCAAGGAAAAATGTCGAACTGAGTTCCAGCACAAAAAGTAATGCTCCATCAAGATAATGCAAGACTACATGTGTCTACATTCACCAGCTAAACTCTGTACGGACTTGAATACAATCTTTTGCCACACCCATCATCTAGCCCGACATCGCTACCTTGGACTTCTACCTTATTTTCACACCTGCTGGTGCTATTTTCCATTCCGCACAGGACGTCTGAAATTGAGGTTGATCTGTTTTTGACTAGTGGCCACCAAGTTTCTTGGTCGAAAGCTTCGAAAAACTACCAAAATGTTGGCAGAAAATCATAGATTTGTGTGGTGATTACTACTCACACTAAGGTCTGCTTTCATGTTTTTTTCTAACTTTATTTAGAACATCTTTTGATGGAAAGCTTTCGTTACAACCAGATAAATCCAATACTTCATCACAACAGTCAACAATACAGGATTCTTACTAAACTTTTAATTTCTGGATTTTCTATGACCATAGAGAACAATCTTCCTGACCAAACATAATGAACGACAGCATACTCTCAATTATTCAGACTAATGCTGGAGAAGCAGGTCACAGATAATTGAAAAATACTGATAATCCAAACTATCAAATTTCATGCATATATGGTATGTGTTGATTTCTAAAAAAAAAGTTTAAATTAATTGAATTTTGCTATGTATTTCTTGAAGTGCTTTTTAATCACTGTATTCCAATTTGCTTTGCATGACAAAATTCAGCAAGGTTTCAACAGAAGTCATTGCTGTTTTGAGACTAAGGTAATTGTCAGTGTCTTTTTTGTTTTTATTTTTAGTAACACTCTCTGCCTCTTCTTTTCTTGTGACATTTAAAATGATACCCGCATGAATCACATACTGAAAGCCCAGCTTAGTCGAATCATCCATTGAACTACTCCTTGATGTTCTTCTGATCAATAGTTTCAAAGAATTAAAAAATTTTCATTATACAACTTCAATTATTGCCTTGATTTCTTCACAGTTAGATAAATCTGCGATTTCTTTATTAGGAAGAATATTTGTCCATTATCGAATCAGTGTTATTGGTTTTAATTTAGCCCAAGTTTTTGCTACTCCACGTATGGCATCCAATACAATCAACTTTTTGGAAAACTTCATTTTCTCCAATAACAGTTCTGAAAAGAACGAAAAAGTAAAATGTTTCACTGATGATATTATTACTTGGTCCATCAGCTGAATTAAACTGGTAACATGTCTTGGACATGAATGACAAATGCATGAATAACTAAATCTAAAGATGAAATTCAGTGATTAAACATGTTCAAACTTGCATATGTTTGTTTTTATACATATTCATGCATAGCATTGAATGTGTGTGTGTATAGGCACTGCCATGCACAGATAATCCAAGAACCTGATAGTCGAAAGTACATTGTAGTTATTATATTGCCCATAATTTGTTTGAAAACTGCATGTGTTTACTGTAAAATGAAATGAAATAAATGAGAATTATTAGCCAATTATACATTGTTTTCACAAAAATCCAACTTTTATCTTTCAGATTTTCGTATGATCAAATAGAACAAGCTTCCTCGCAAAACCTAATGAATTAGGTTTGAAACTAAGTACGAGCATTTAATAATTTTATACATTTACTGCAAAGTACAATGAGAATATTATATTCTCATTATTATTATATAAGATTTAATTTATTTTATGGAAATGTGTATTATTCCACTGACACTTAAACTATTATCAAGCAGTGCGATTTAGCACCAGTTATGAATACACATGACAGAACAACACACTCATAACATCTACAGTTTTGTTTGATGTAACATAGAATGATTCTTGATAAGCCACATTTTGTTTTTATGAATAGATATGTAAATTAACAGTTACTGTTATACATTTTTCTTGCATTTTTTTAAAAGTAATTAAAAATTGGAACCTGCATTATACAAAACAACAAGCAGTAGTTTATTTTTAGATTTATGGAAACCTCTCATCAAAGTTGTGCATTAATGGATATGGTATTGTGAACTTAATATTGCCCAGAAAGACAACAACAGATTGGAACAATTATATGCAGGAACTTTATACTTGTACTGTTCTAAGCATAGCTTCTGATGAAATCAGTGGGCCAAATAAAATAGTAAAAATCGAAGATGCTTCATGAAGTTCAAAAACAAAGTAGGTCCAATACTGATTGTTTATTATTAATTAAACAGGCATCAATTCTTCAGAGTTCTGCTGAAATGAATGGTGTAATTTTGTGGAATCTTTGGTAATTTTCACAATCAATGGGATAATACATACCTATTTTATTTATTACTGCAAAGCAAATCAAAGAAATACAGGAAATATGCATCTAAACCATTCAAAACTAGTTTAAAAGATGCGAAATTCTGGGGAGGGGGGGAATTACTGTTCATGCTATGAAAATTAAACTAGAATATCATTCATAATAAATGCTATTTGTCTGATATTTCACAATGAGAATTAGAAACTTGAAATTACACCACACAAAAATAAAGTTAATATATTTATTTATTTTATTATGTGTTAATATAATTATTTATTATAACATTCAATCATAGACTGTAATGACTTCTTCACAACAATATTTATTTCTAACAGCTCAGTAAGAATTTGAAAAGAAAAGTTATGATGGCTTGATAAAACTATATTAGATATATGGTGAATTAAACATTTTTTGCAATAAAAACAAAGATTACAATAATTCTTTATTTCCTTTTTTTTTAATAGAGGTAATTTTTGCTTATGCAAAAAACTTCTTAAAACACAAACCTTTCATTATTTGAAAGAAAAAGTCTTCTTTTTTAACTCCAATTTTTCCAGAGCATTTTTCGTTTCCCTGAGTTTCCAAAATTTTTCAGATAAATCAAAACAGCATATTTAATAATTGGCTTACAGTAAAAATAAACAGAAACTTGGAAACCACACATAATATGAGGGTGAATCAAAAATAAATGGGCCTTTTGTTTAAACAAAATTTATTTTATCAGAAACATCTACATTTCTCCAAATTATTTTTCTACATTATCTCCTCCTTTTATGATATATTTTCCACAGCGTTTTGGTAATTTTTTCGTTCCATTCTCATAAAATGAAGTTGGATGGGTATCTAATCAGTTGCGCACGAATGTTTCCATTTGATCTTTGGACTCAAATTGCTTGTCTCCAAGTGCCTTTTTGAGGTTCCAAACATGTGAAAATCACATGGGGATAAGTCTAGGCTGTAAGGTGGATGAGCAAGCATTTTCCAGTGCATTTCCATTAGTTTCTGTTGCATTATGCCTCCTGTGTTGGACCTTTTGTTGTCATGGAGGGGACAATCTCGTCTTTTGCGTCAATACTGAAACGTAACTTGATCCAAGAGACCGCAGTAGTAGGTTGCATTAATGTCCATGTAAGAAATCCACCTCCTTCAGTCCCAAAAAACCGTGGCCAACACTTTCCCAGCAGACAATCGAGTTTTGGTTTTCACTTTTCCTTCTCCAATCAATGTTTGCATGCTTTGATTGAGGGGCATAATGATGCACCCATGTCTCGTCAGAGATGATAATTTTATGCAAAGAGCTTCCCCTTCTTTTTCAAAACGAGTTTGAAGCAATTGAGAAATGCGAACTCATGCAGCTTTTTGATCATCATTCAGCAACTTTGGAAACCAACGAGCTGAGATTTTTCTGAAGACCAACTGCTTTCTGACTGAACACTTTCATAGCTGACACCAAGTTATTCTGAAATTTGAAGCACTGTGTAGCGTAGATCTCGTTTGATATCCTCATAAACACATGCAATGTTTTCAATAATCGTACTAGTGCGGGGAGGGAGGGGATGACCTTGATTCGCAACAAGTTCGTGGCCGGGTTTGCATTCGTTGTACTAAACCTTCACTCTTGATTAAGAAAGGGTAACTACCCCAAAGTGGACGTGCAGTCTATGGTAAACTTCGGCTGGTTACACATTTTCACGGAAGACAGAACTTCATGATTATGCGTTGCTCAATAGGGACAGGCACACTCCTCACACTCATCATAAGGACTACTAAATAAAGCACGGGACAGGCCAGCTGGTGTGGTTCCCTTACTCTAGGCAACCCCATCTGCCAGAATACATACAAATAACACTCAGTCAATTAAGGCTCATTCATATTTGATCGCCCTACATAAATTGCTGGACACATTTTTTTTTTTTTTTTTTTTTGAATAAGTAAACAAATTTCAGATACAGTTTATAACTTATTTTCATTGTTTACTTACATTTTCCTGGTTTGTCACAAACAAGCATGCCATCTTCAGGTACCAAATGGCAGTTTACTCGTTGCAAAGGTACTAACTCTTCTGCAATCCCACCTTCAGGTCTGAACCAAACACTGAATCCTATATCATAATTTTCAGTTTGAAATTCCCATTGTAATGTGGAGCCAACTTCAGTTACTGTCAATTCAACAGGATAAACAGACTTCTTGTCAACTGTAATCTTAGTCAAATCTGTATCTGTGGATAAACGTCGACTAGGAGCAGTATAATATGAACATGGGACTTGACCACCCATATTGACCTAAAATGATGATTTCAAAAATTAAATATTGAATTAACAATTCAAGACATATATTCAAAAACAGGATTTTCTTCATCAAATTTTTTCAAAAATTTAAATATGCATATTATTAGAATTTTATTTTTTTGTACTCAAATATATAACTACAAATTAAAAGGCTAGAATTTCCAGATAGACAAGACTGCCAACAAGAATAATTAAATTTTTTTATCCAAAAATTATATATTTCAAAATTAGCATTTTTTTTAAGGAAGAAAATAAATTTTTAGTTTCCACAACAAAATTATATAAATTTTTACACAACCATACCTAATGAATAAGACCGATTATGAGCTCAGACACATTTTAACATCATAAACATATCACTCCAAAAATAAGGATTGGGTCTTTTATTAGGGCTTTATTTTCAGAGGGCATCTTATTTTTTCATGCATAATTAAACATATGTGAAAATCCACATTTCTTTGTATACTCAATAATTTATTTTTATTCATTTATCCATATAAAAATTACATTTACTCAAATACAGTTATGTCTTCTTTTTAAATATAATCCAAAATCATATCTCAGCCTCAATTATTTTTTTAATCCCATTTCTTGCATTGGTCGTTATCTTTTAGTCTGGCAATATATCTCTCCTTAAATGAACACTGCTTGTTCCTGTAAACAGCTTGTACCATACTGTGTTTTGGGTTCATTGATTATGATAATGAATGCAAGGGCTATCTGCCTAAGAGAGAGGATGCCTTTGTGGAGGATATAAACACAAGAAACCAAGAAGACGGCCATGCAGCCAGCCTGTTCACATCTACATTTCTCCAAATTATTTTTCTACATAATCTCCTCCTTTTATGATATATTTTCCACAGCGTTTTGGTAATTTTTTTCATTCCATTCTCATAGAATGAAGTTGGATGGGTATCTAATCAGTTGTGCACAAATGTTTCCATTTGATGTTTGGACTCAAATTGCTTGTCTCCAAGTGCCTTTTTGATGTTCCAAACATGTGAAAATTGCATGGAGATAAATCTAGGCTGTAAGGTGGATGAGCAAGCATTTTCCAGTGCATTTCCATCAGTTTCTGTTGCATTACGCCTCCTGTGTTGGACCTTTTGTTGTCATGGAGGGGACAATTTCGTCTTTTGTGTCAATACTGAAGCGTAACTTGATCCAAGAGACCGCAGTAGTAGGTTGTGTTAATGTCCATGTAAGAAATCCACCAATGTTTATCAATGAACTACCAATGTTTATCAATTTTACTGCCTGGCTGCTGGTGCATCTTCATATTGCATTGAAAACATAGCTGTTAGTGATTTTATCCCATTACTTTTTCATCTAAGTCACAACCTAAACTGTCCATGAAGAATTCTTTCCATTTTATGTTCAATACAGTTATTTATTTCCATGCGCAAATGGTTCTTGAATGACGTGTTAACTGCAATCTAAAGAGTCTGGAGATAGACTATCAGTCCTCTGGAAATCATTATTTAATCTATTGTTCTTTCTACAAAGAAATTCAACACTTCTTTAATGCACCGAATGCTGGCTGAATTCCAGACTTAAATGCATTTTTGGCTATTTCGTAAAAAAGTGGTAGCACTAAATATACTAGTATCCTTATAGCTGCATTTGTGCAACATTTTTTCCCTCCTGTTTTAAGAACATGAATGCTGAAACAAGCTTATTCTAATCTTTCTTGCCTCTAGTGATGATTACAGGTGGGAAGGAATATAGATTGACTAAGCATGCCTCTGATCAATTCTCCTTTGAGAACTTGACCCATAAAAATCATAGTTTCATCAACAGAAAACCCATCAGAGACTTGATATTAGAACAGAATTAGGAATACAGATTGACTAGACACCCTCATTAGTTTTTGGACTGGTCAATTTTGGGGATAGGGCTTATACTAATTCAGAAGTCAAACAACAAAAATCAGCATTAATTTACAAAATTTTCACAGGACTAGTTTCGATGGTTTTACCGAACCATCATCTTCAGCTGCAAAACCACAAATGCGGTTTTGCAGCTGAAGATGATGGTTCGGTAAAACCATCGAAACTAGTCCTGTGAAAATTTTGTAAATTAACGCTGATTTTTGTTGTTTGACTTCTGAATTAGTATTTATTCGGCGTGTTATTGTGTCTTAAGGATAGGGCTTATATTATAAACATTCTGATTGGTTGTTTGGTATAGCGAGGGCTACCTATAAACATTTCCCCCGAATCCCCCAAAAATTTCTAGGGCTTAGTCTCAAATATGTCTTATTTTGAAGGGAAAAATGTAGATTACTAATAGAAAACAAAAACTTTTCAATATATGACACTATATGCATACCTGCCAACCTATGACACTCAAAAATCAGGAGAATTTTCACAATGTTAAAAAGACTGTTTAAATGATAAAAATATAATTTTTAATAATGAATGAACTTTAAATAGTTACTAATTCTTAAATGCAAGCAACACAAAAATACTTTACGCATAAAAAACATTTTTATTACTTGCATCGGTTAAGGTTGGGGGGGAAAAAAAGAGAGACACTTTAATCAGTTTTTGTACAAATGATATGAACAGTGGCAGATTTTGCTTTCGTTAAAAAAGAAACTCATAATTTTATTCATAGCAATTGCAATGTAGGCCTGCTTTCGCTAATAAAAGTTTTTCTAATGTGTCATCACTAATACTAGATCTAAATTTAGTCCTCGTTTTTGCAACAACACTAAAAATCCTCTCACACTCTGCATTACTATGGGCAACTGTCAAGATGGCCAACATAATTCTAGACAGTTCACTATATTTTAAAATTCCATCAGCACCTCTCAGTTTTCCAATTAAACTCCACTAAGTGTCAATCCTAGCTGATTTTAAAACTTTCCAAGTTTTCTAATTGTAAACTGCAAAATTGCGACTGCAATATAACAGTGGCTACATCAATATCATCATCTTTTATGACTAAATGAGTAACACAGGAAATCTGTTCAAAAAGTACCTTATATCAGAAAAAGATGCTTTTGCTAGAGAAGACACATTCGCAACTTTAGCATGTAAAATCACTTCATCGTTGACTGGAAATTTTATGTAGTATGTAATCACATACTCGACAGAAGTAACTTCGAACATGAAGATAAAACTTACTTTTGTCTTCTTCTGAAAGTTCTTCCACTACTTTTGTAGTTGCAGCTCCTATTACCAAATCTTCATCTTTCTTCTGATTTTCTATTTCACCATAAATCACATCATACATAGAATTAAAAGACAAAACACAGACTGGTTTTACAAACTTTGATAAAATGTCTTTAAAAAGACCATAAATCATTGATTGCAAAACATGAATTAATGGAATTCTGCTTTGTAGAACCATGTTAAGAACATCAAATGATGGCAAAATGAATAGTAAAAAAAAGCAAAAAGCTTTGTTAAGGTTTGAAGAAAAAACATAAATATTCGTTCTTCACAAGATAAACTTACAGTAATCAGAAAATGCATTTACACAACTCAGGACAAGATGAACGAAATAACTAAAGAAAATTCAAACAACAGCCTAGAGCTTGCTTTTGTGTTCATTGGCTAATATATACCAGATGACACGCAGTGGAGCTCGATGCCCATTGGAGAACTGGAGAACGAAGTTTCTGGATACGTATGCTCTCACTCGCAAAGCAGAAATTCTCATCTGATTCGCAAGGTTTTGTTTTAGATATAATCTAGAGAAAATTCAATTGCTTTCAAATGTCCAAAATCACTTTCTTTTTATTCGTATAAGCCAAGTTCCATAAAAATTGTGGGGTTGGCGGGAGAGCGGTCGAAAATCGCGAGTCTCCTGCCTAAATCGGGAGAGTTGGCAACTATGTATACAATAAATGAATGCCAAGATGAACAACATACCAATGGTCGATCTTCAGGGTCAGGTTTAGTTCCTCCCCATTGAGAAGGCAGCTCACTTGGATCAATATCTTCAAAAACAGCACTTTTCCATGTTTCTAAAAAGTATCAGTAAATTATGCTTTGCAAGTACAGAACTATTTATAAAAGGAACTGCATATAATCTCAGTATGTAATGAGCACAAACAAGCAATGACAATAATGAGAACAAATGAATCCAATGTCAGTAAAATTCAGATTAGTCTAATGACATTATAATCATATCAGTCCAATAAAAATGAGAATTTCAAACTGTCAGTATTTTTAATTTCCTTGTATGTTATAAGGTAATTTATCATTAAAACAGTATGTATTTCTAAACTATAATTTTAGACTTGATGTGAGAATTTATCAGCAATACTTTTGATGAAGCATTTCTAAAATATATGTGCAGTTTAAAATGCTCTGTGTCTCCCTTCCCAAACAAACAAAATAATCCGAGATTTTCAATAGAAACTTGAAAATTTTTTCTTAAATATATTTAATAAGCATGAAGTTCTTCACTTAATTACATCTTAATTTTACGTTGAAATATTTAACTTTTATATTTTAATATATTTAGCAATAACAAAGTGTATGGCACAGACTTTAGTCAAGACTCTAACAATTTCGAAGGCAAAAGGGTACATGCTCCTTTCCATCAGGTACAAAGAAATCTGCAAGGAAGGGAAAGCCACGGTTGGATTCATACTCAAAAGGAGTAAAGCAAAAAAGAAGGAAGTGCAATCTGTTTAGAAAGAACAGATTCAAAACAGAAATAGAAATGAAAATTGAAAATAATTAAGTTAATAGAATTTTTAAATTATTAAGAAGAGGTGAATTGGAATTACAGTCTATAACTAAATAAGATAATCTTTGTGAATGTGAAAGGAAATTCACTTTGCCAATGGAAGAAACTTTCTAGATAATTTCTGCAGACACAAATTCAAAATTATGATTAAATTACCAACTACAATTAGCTGTTGACTATTTTAGTCTCGCCGATATATCTCTAACCACACTGACATGTTATACTATAAAATCTTCAAGAACTAAAATCTTTAAGAACTGAGAGATAGAGTGATAGGTAAGAAAATGACAATATAGCTTCTGAAGAATCAGCGCAATTTTGCAACTGACAAAAGGATGAAATGGAAACACGACAAGGTCATTAATGCTATTTCTAACAGTGGAATGTCTTCGCTAACGACAAGATGAAAATTGTTTAAAGGCTTTATAACCATGGAAAATAATTCTTTATAATACTTGAAGAGCACAATATGCATAATAGCAAAAAGAAGTCACTTTCTGCTAGGCCAGGTGATGTGTAGGACAAGTAGCATGGTAAGGTTAAAAAAAAAGGGGGGGGTTGTGGTAAACATTAGTGCTGAAGTCAGATTCATTGCAGATTATAATATCAAGAAATATAAGGGTACTGTCAGATTCAGTTTCATTAATGAACCAGATGGCTGGAATAATCGAATTTATAATAGATAAAATCTGGAATAAACTTTCTTTTATTAACATCAAAAAGTCAGCGCTGTCTACATAGCAAATTGCCATTGACTGAGGATTTCCTCCTGTGGTTAAGCTTTTAAAAATGTTTCATCTTGCCATCAGAGAAGACATTCTACTGTTAGAAATAACACTAATAACCTTTTCGTGTTTCCAATCCTTCTGTCAATTACAAAACTGCACGGATTCTCCAAAGTTCAATTTTTAAGTCATTTTCTCGTCTATCCATAAAATGATTCTTAAAAATTCCACTTCTGGCTTTAAATCTTGGAGAATTTATAGCATATCTTGTCAGTGTGGTTTGAGATACCACTGCTAAATTAAAAAGAATGTTAAAGATTTACATCGAGAAATGCGAATCTTATGTCTGAAAAGATAAAATTCACAAAATCTTGGATTGCTAATCATAATTGGAAATTTAATCTTAATTTTGACTTTGGATCTGCAGAAATTATTCAAAAAGTTTCTTCCATTAGTGAACTGGGTTTTCTTGGAGCTTTTCACAGACTAAATGACAGAGTTAACTTTAATTCAAATCCAGTCCTTTCTAATGCTTTTTAAAAATTCTATTAATTTTTTAATTTTTGCTACCATTTATGCCAACAGATTGCAGGCACTACTTTCTTGTTTGCCTTACTCCTGTTTGGTATAAATGCAGCTGTGGTTTTCCTTTTCTTACAGATTTTTTTGCTCCTCATGTGGGGTGACCTTAACTGTTTGCACTTGAAATTGATAGAATCTTTACTTAAATCTATGGCAAATACAGTACTGTTGCTCTGCTAATTTTATGTTTTACTTTAGTATGTTTCTGTCTTGATATTTAACTTAGACTTATATATTAACTTATATAGAATGACAAACTATATGATTTGGCAATGATGAATAAATTATGACTAATTTATTCTCATGATTTCATAAATTTGATGTATCTTCCTTGTAAATTATTCTGCACAGTCATTTATTGAAACTTTTTTTTTAGATGAAGTTCTATGTCAGTTACATTATGAATAATATTTCTTGATCTGTTCTCATATAATCACAAGTGAGGCTAAAAAACAATAACTTTTTAAGCTTTCTCTATTTTTGAATACACTTCCTTTCAAACTATAAATACAGTACATTTTTAATAATATATTTTAGTCTTTTGAAATTTTCAAACTACAAAATGACTATTTTTAGCCACAAAACATCATATATTTTTTAACATAATACTAAACATTTAATTTTTCCAATTTCTAGAGAAGTAAATATAGTATATATATATATATATATATATATATATATATATATATGCAAAGCAACTACTGCAGAATAATAAAAGTTAATTTAACTAAATTCAACTTAATTATGTGTCTGATTTGACGTTGAAATAAAACACACCCACCAGCAATTGACAGTAAAATGATTCATCACTTACAGTTTTGATCTGGGTTCGACTACAGGCACACAAGATAGCTGCATGGACGTTTTCATGGGTTTTCCCGCATATGTAATGTGCATAGGAGCTAGTTTCGCTTCGAAAGTTCTCCACAAAGGCATCCCTCCCCTTGGGCAGATAGCCCTAGTATGCTTTGCCATAATAAACAAAACCCTTAAATAAAATAAAACACTGTGCCACCTAGATGGGTGTGGTGTGGTGTATTTAATTATGACAAAGCATACTAGGGCTATTTGCTTAAGGGGAGTGATGCCTTCGTGGAGGACTTTCTACGGGAACCGGCTCATATACACATCACACATCTGGAAAATCACGAGAACACCCATGCAGCCAGCCCATTCGTGGGATTCGAACCTCGGGCCGAACTACCAATGTTCAGCGACTTTAACGCTCGGCCGCTGGTGGGAAACGCCTAGATGGGAAAGTGGTTAGAGACTCAGGCTGCCATACTGAAGGGCCAGGGTTCACTCCTGGAGAAGGCATGCATATAATATGTCTGGCCTTTTGTAGGAGCCAACTAATGAAATAAATATAAATTATAAAACATAATTTTGGAAATGGGTGAATATAAATTGACTTATGTCTCCAAACAATGTTTAAAATCTCCACACAAATAAGGCAATCAGATGTTAAAAATCTTGAAAATGCTTCTTGACTGCTAATTTAATATTGCTCACTTGTGATAAAATGACTGTTACAGACACCTTTGGTTAAAATAAATTCTTATTAAAATGTTTGATTCATACCTATTCAACAGCATTTTTTGGACAAAAAGTTAATTGAAAAAAATCAAATTATACTAATTTTTTATTACAAAACAACTTCAATTACTCACTTCAGAAATTTGAAATTTCTTACAAATTGATCATTTTTTAATGTTTGCACACATAAGATTGTATGCACAGAAATATCTTACCTTTAAAGAATTTCTTTATCATTTTAAAGTGGAAGATGTCTTAGGAATTTTCTGTGAAAAATATTCCCACAAATGAAAGCAAACAAAATCATAAAAAGCTATAACAAAAATGAAGAGAAATTAATAACAAATTATCAAAAACCTGATTTTTAAAATGATTATAAAGGGAAAATAAAGATAATTTTTAACAAAAACAATTTAAATAATAATTTTTAATATTTTAAGTCATTTACATTACAAAATAAATTCAAGAAAAGGATTATAAATAAACAAACAAAAGCAGCAACGTATGCCAACAATAAAATTAAATAAGTTTTAATGCTTTTGACATTAGAAACATTCTTTAGTGTTTCACTTTCTGTAACTGTTACATTACATTACAGAAGTATGACATATTACCACAATTGCTTTATCATCTACGCAGCTTACAAGGAAGTCACTTCTGGGAGATGTTGCCATTCTATGTGACATAAGATCTTTTATTCATTTCTCAAATTAGAACATATTACTTAAAGGAGCAATGTAAAAAAAACACATTTCATACTTACTCGAAAATAAGAATACCTTACATTTTTAGATACATTTTAAGAAACAAAACTATAAGTGAATATTTGATAAGAGCAGCAGTGTTTCTGATTGGGATGAAAGTTAAGCTACTTAATTAAAAACAATATTTTACTATAAATATAGGAGGATATGTTGTTATTTATTTGTTTTCAAGCAGACTAGTGGGCAGTGTAGTTGATGCATATCTAAACTAGCTAAACTAATCAACTCTCAAATTAGTGGTAGTTAATGCAGTTTATATATATCTAGTACAAGTCATTTATTTAATATTTAAGAAGTGTAGTTATTTTGCATAAAACATTCTTCCCATTCTGCAATTTTATATAACAAAATACACAATTACAAGACCGTGCCAAATTTGGAACAAATATGTAGCAAAATAAAATCTGAAAGCTTTCAGATTTTACATTATGACCAAAGTGGCTTTTTTATGTTTTGTGTGTTATCTTTATTTATTAAATATCATGTTCTTTATACTTAAACCATACAATTCACTTCAACAGCAATATTGCAATATAATTTTAAAATGGGCATATCTTTAGAATTTCCGATACACAGTCTCACGCACTTGAGATAAAAATTTTTTTCCCCATACATTGTTGTCATTGCTCGCTTTGAAATCTTTCACTTTGTTAATAAAAAATTCATTAATGGTTGCTTCCAGATGCCCATATTAGGATGGAAACTTACCTTATTCAAAATTTGTTGGCCCTAGGTTCTGTCGTTTCTGTCGAGAAACTTACATACATTTATGCAGCTTCTTCATTATTTAATGTCTTTAAATAGGCTGTAATATTTGGTAAGCAACAGTTTGAAAAGTGAACCTACACTTAAGTTTTCAATGCAAAATGCCAAAAAGAAATTAATAGCCCTTCTGGGTTGATACCCTTCGGTCTAAAAAGGGGGGGAACCTTGTTTTTGAGTAAATATAGTAGTTATGTCCCATACCCACAGTTTAAAGAGGGGAGAAGGTACAAGTGTTATCACAACCACCTTAGTAGAAGTTGCCAAATTTTCAGAATGTGCATAACTCTGGTAACCATCCATACACATAAGAAAATCAATCACAAGGCATATCATGCGCATATCCATTCTTTAAGCAACCATACTCTTCTTCAGTTAAAGGAATGTCGCCATATTCGTATGTGTTTTTTTGTTGCATTCCACAGGTTTCATCAACAAACTGTGATATTGTTTAGCCCTAAAATGAATTTTAAAAATGAACTTGTTGAATTTGCCAGCAATGGAAGAAACTGGGGTAAAATTTCAGCAGGAATACAGAATTTTGCTACAAAATCTCCAAATGAAACAATAAGGAGATGCATTTGATATATAGACAAAGTCTCTGCAATTTTCCGATTTTTTTAAAGAGAACACAAATTTCTGTGTACTTGGTGAGAGCAATAGTGCAGAAAAATTACAGAAAGATTTGGAGAAGAATCAATGTATCACTTAATGCTTATTTAATAATTACAAATTTGCTAAATTATGTTTGGTTTTCTCATGTTGATAATGTCTGTCAATTTATGATAAATATTAAGTTTGGAAATCTTTTTTAAAAAGGTCACGAAGCACCCAATAATTAACTTTTACCTTGAGGGCACATACCCTTTCTGCACAAATTAAGTACTTTTAATGACCATTAATGAAAAAAATTAAGCGCCTACCAGGAAAGCAAATTCCGAACTTCATTTTTGTAATACCTTTCAAGGAATAAAATAAATCTATATGTGATACATTATTATTAAACAGAATCTAATACTTAACTATAAAAAAAATTCGAGAATAAAATCAACTTTGTAAAATTTATCAGATAATTAGCATTAAATTACACAGTTCCTGCAAAATTTACACTTGCATTATTTATATTTTACACTTATAATAAGTCCTAAATATGTTAAAGAAGATTATAGACATTTAAGTTTAGTTAATTCTTTCTTTTATGTCTCGTTTCATCATGTACTTTCTCAGTCCACAGGTTTATACAAAGCAGCATACGTTAAAAGTCAAAAGTAAAATCATAAACAGCATAATTCTTAACACTAGCATGGCTGTTGCCTCTGTTGCTGTTTGCTGAGAGAAAGACAACACTGAGCAAAACAGATATTTCTTTAATAATATTTTACTTTTTTAATAATACGAGTATTGGGAATAAATATGAAATGATATAAGGTCAGCTGCGACACCAAAGCCAGTGTGGCAGAATTTTTAGAAGTTAGTGAAGCAATAAGCAGCAAAATTTATAGATGGCAAAATTTTTAGAATTTTGGATAGACACTGGGCAGCATAATGCAAGACCCATAGAGATTGCACCAGGTGGAAAATGTCCTGTGTACGGTGCAGATAGACATATAAAATTAATCTTTTAAATTTTTCAATTTCTTTACTAATAGAAAAATTCCTTCCTACAAATGTCTGTCCATGTGATTAATATTAGAACCATTTTTGGAATTTTCCATGCTTGTATCTAGTGAAAAGATGAGAAAATAAAGGGAAGTTAAAACATGTTAAAAGCAAGACTTCTAGAATGAAAAGCAGAAAATTCAAATAATTTTGTTTTCATTGTTCTTTCAAAAGTTTTCCATAGAAGAATACGTTGTTAAAAACAAATAATCCTACCCCCCCATACAAAAAAAGAGCTTTATAAATTGAAAATTTTTGAATGCAAGTGAAATGACAAAGTCTCCTAAAATACAGTACTTTAGACATGACTAGTACCCTCCTACCCAGGTACCCAAATGTTTGCTCTAGGACAATGCAACTAGATATGCAGAGAAGGAACATTGATTACAAAACCTTGTGTATTTTCAAGTTGCAGGAAACCACTCAAACTCTTGAGTTTGCATTCTGATTCACAGGTTATAAATATACTGGTACTGAATCTTGACTAGCCTGGTCAAATTATACACATATATTTCCATATCCATACAAATTTGCTTCCAATCTATACTTATTTGCAACATGTTATGGCAACTGTTTGCTCTTACAGTTCCTTATTTTATATCACAGCACAGATCCCAATGCACAAGAATGCTCAAAGTGTTGAAAATTACTACTATTCTAGTAGTCTTACAAAAATGAATGATTTTTATTTCTACTATCCTTTGAAATGGTATGTTGTGCTGTATAGTATAAGAACTGCACTTTTACTTGCATTCTGAAGATTACGTGAGAATTCTTATTTCTCATGTAATCTTCAGAATTAGAGTAAAATGTATTCTTCATATACATTTTACTCTAGTGTACAATATATTTTACATTTTATGTTTTCATAATATCACACAAATAATTACATTAATTAACGGAGAGTTTGCCAGAATATTTAATACTTATTCTTTTATTTCATATGTATTAAATGTCCTGTGATGCTTTGATAAAATAAAGAAAAGTAATTAATAATATGTATGAAATTTGAGAAGGTACGTGAATACTAAAATTACCTTTAACATATACATGTATTTTTTTAGCCGTTTCTTCACTCAGGAATGGTTTTATCATTGCATAAGCCATATGGAAAAAAGCAGGTGCTAGAAGGAGGAAAAAATGCATCTGATATCATTTCACATGGGGAAAAAAAAAAAAAAAAAAAAAAAAAAAAAAGGAGTAAACTTAGAGTTAAACTATCTTTCATTTATAATAGTGATGAGTTAAACCATTCTTCTTTAATTTTCATCAAATTATTAACTTAAAAATATTAAAAGAACAATAACAACTACACATACTATATTTAACACAGCCATCAAATACATACTACTGAAGTTTCTTGATACTAAAATGTGTTATTAGTAAGACCAGAACACTGCTGTTATTTTTCAAGATATACTTTAAATTCTGGTACATTGCTGTGTGAATTTGTTTTCTGCTGTTCCTTTTGCAGCACAGATATCAGTTATTGCTACAATGTGAAAAGGCCATTCTAATCCAAAAATATCTTAGCAGTAATTAAATTTCAAGAACATACAGACTGAAATTAAAGGGTAAAAGTCCAAACAAAGAAAAACAACCCTATTATGGTACCTCTCTATAACATTTTACTCTTGACATAATGTATTCCTGCATATGGTATTCATCAGGTGATCACAAGATCCAGTTATATCTGAATGCTAATAATACACTGTGTCTTATTATTCCATAGGAGTATCTCTCTTCCACTGATTCACAGTGTTACTTGCACCACATTTCAAATAATTCATACTACATACTGGTAGATAAGATCAGTAATATGAAAAATATTTCTTTGGTACTGATCTTGAATCCAATATGTAACTTTCTATCAATGAGCTTGAATCGAATAGTAACTTCTATGATACTGAACTAGGATGGAGAAACCACTTGAAATAGTAACTAAGACCATTTTGTTTGACAATATGCTTCCAGCTTTCACTAATCTTGATCTGCCTTTTTTTTTTTGTGTGTGTGTTTAGCCCGACTTTACTGCTTTATGATAATGTCAGTTACACTAGATTGGAGCAATACATTTGTGAATTTTCTTTACAGAATGATGAACATGACTCCAGTTATGTCACATATGAATGGATTCTTTGTATGTTCAATGTGATGGCACAACACAACTTTAATACAGTTAAAACATATTTCTTTCCATAGAATTACTTCATGCATTTATATTTCATAAGCAAATCTATTAGTAATTCTGACTACTAAGTATACATATGTGCATTTAAAATTAAAATTAAAAGCAAATTCAAAAATCACATTCAGAAACAGCAAAAAAGAACAAAAACAAAAGTCATTAAAAATAGTGTCACTACAAAATTACATAAGTGAACAAATTTTTAAAAAATAATTTCAAAGTTAAAACTGACAATTTAAAAAAAAAGTATTCAGATACAACAAAGCAGAACAAAAACGAAACTCGATCAAATCAGTGCAAGCAATTATTCCATAAATACGAGAAAAGTTTAATATATATATATATATATATATTTAAAAAGAAAAATTAAATTAGTTTGTATTTTCTGTGATATTTATTCCCATTAGGGCTTGGTGTTCTAAGAAATATAAAACAAAAATAGCCTGCTTCTGAGATTTCTTAGCTAATGTATGTTTCAGAAAATGAATTAATATTTGAAAAAGTTTAATCAGGAAAAATAAATAAAACTGTACATTAATTTCCCAACCCCAACAGGCCAGAAATGAAAAAATAGCACTCGGCCAAAATTTAAAAAAAGAACTACTGCATTAGCTTCTAATATGTGATATAGTTAGCAGTTTATTAGAATCTCTGCTTAATATTTTTATTTTAAGCCACTTATGTGTGTTAATATAACTGAAAGACAATATTACAACATTTTTGTTTTTGTATATAATAATTCACCACAGAATATATAGCTATTTAGAAAAACTCCATGAAACTTAATCCAAATAGTTTATCCTTAATTTTAAAATCATACAGTAATACTGAGAAATTTCTTTCCACAATTCAAGATATCGTACTACGTATCTATATATAAATTTTCACAAATTAAGAAAATTGTCAGAAGCTTTTTAATTTTAAAATGATTCTTTTGCTTCTTACTAATAGTACCCAAAGTCATTACACAAATAAAATTTAATTAATAAGAACAAAATTATCAGAAAAAGTATGTATCAATAAAAATAATATTGCAATGAAAGTATGTATTAATAAAAGTAACATATTAATGATATGACAATAATATGATGTTTTATTTACCATTGATAACATAAGCTTTCTTTAAACGTTCTGGATAATTATCTTCAAAGACTTTTACGAGCTGAGTTATCATATCAACAGCTGAAAAAAGTTGAAAAAAAATTTCACATAAATGGGGAGGAGCAGAATAATAATGATTCTGTCTAAAATAATTACAATAAAGGCAAATAAACAATCATAAGTAGTTCTTTACTTTTCCATATGATTTCCTATTTACAAGCTAATAGCAAGAAATGGTACACACATCTCTCTAGCTCTCTCTCTATATATATTTGAAAGAACAAATAAAAAGAACCACATCATTTTGATACAAACAAAAAGGCTATCCATACCTTCAGATATTCAGCAAAAATCCTCTCATGTTCAATTAAATTCATACAGTTCAGTAAAGAAATACTTAAAGCAAAGCTATTAAATTATTGATAGCTGATACACAAAATCACTGATCATTCAGTTTCAGTGGAATTTAGCAAAAATTTAGTGCATAATATCTAGAGCACTGGTTCCCTGCAGGGTGGCAATGTAATTTGAGGGTTTGTTGATTAAAGAATGGATGGGATACTTTCAGAGGTTGCAGGTTTTTTGCCGTGGCTGAATTCTGCTTTGCTTTCATTTGACTTGCGTGCAGATTGTTTTGGACAGGCTTTGGCAGTACACATAAATTGCTGTATGAATGAGAGTAAAATTTTGGGATTTTGGCAACCAGGACATCTTTTTTTTTTTTTTTTTTTTTTTTTTTTTTTGTTCCGCTAAAAATTTTGAGGAAGAGACTGACTTCAGTTTTAGATGTGGAGGTGCTAGGAGTGAAATGCTTCTAGGCAGTGGTACTACAGAAGAAAAATGAGTTTTCCACAGAGTCCCCTTGCATGAGAGTTCCTTCGGGACACACGTTTTTTGGGACTATGCATCGAAATTAAGATAGTTGTAGATTCTGAACAGGGAAAAGTACGTGAACATGGAAAATAGAGTTCCTGGCCTGGCGGCCGATATATAATTCTTGTGTTTCTTCTATGTGTAAAGTCTTCAAAGGAAAATTCGTCTGACAGGAATAGTTTCCACTGGAAGATGCCCGAGTCCCTGCTTCAGCCAGAAATTTCTACTGTGCTAGAACTAAAGATAAGTTTATTTTCTTTTCTTTCCTTCTTTCATTAGTAGGATTGACAGTAATGGACTCTTTTTTTTTATTAGTTTCTAATTAGATGAAAGATCATATTTTTGCCCTCGTGCTTAAACAAAAAATTTAGAAATAATGGGTCTCTAAATTAGCATGAAATGGTTAAGCATCCCTGTTTAATTTCTTAAGCATAATTATATTCTTGTCATTCTATTAATGTGTGCCAGTTGCATACTGGTTAAATTCTTGTCATTCTATTAATGTATTAAATGTAAGGAGCAATGTTAACTGAGTATCCTCCTTCGCCTGCTTCAAGCTGAGGCTCTGACGGTTTTTCCATTTTTTTTTCCATGAGACTTAGCGATTGTTAGCATTTAACTGAAATGATTAAAAAGATATATTTACATTAGGTTAATTCAATATTCACTTAATTTGTAACTCTATAATTTTGGTTATTTCTGGAGAAAGGGGTATGCCCGTACCGGAAATTGAAATTTTCATGTGTAGGTTTAAGATTGTATGAAATGTGTAGGAAATGAGAATTGTATGTCTGAATTGTTTGCCGCCCAGTCAGTATGGTGGTCAGGGAAGCTGACTGCGATGCCGAAGGGCCTGGATTCGAATCCCGGAGAAAGCATGGTTGTAACTGTCCGTCCCTTCAAAGGAAAGGCGATGGTGGCCCACCTATTAGGTGCCTCCATAATAAAGAGACCAACACATCCGGCCTTGTATAGATTAATGGACTGGGTTACATTTGTAATTGTTCACAATCTGCCATTAGAAACATATATATATATATCTGAATTTGTGTTTATCTGGCAGTCTAAAACACGTTATTGGCTTTAACTATGAATTGTTTCATATCCCAGGAATGATTGTTGTATCTTGCTTAACCGAGAGAAAAAATGTTTTGAATAAACCGAGAAAATGAATCTTAAATCTGACTCTGTAAGATTTTTTAGCTTATTATTATTAATTTTTATGAAGAATTTATTCACTAAGCTTGACACAGTGCTTAGCTATCGCATTTGAACGTCTATTCCAAATGCATGTCTAGCCATTCAACAGGCGTAAACCTCGTCAAAACACAATGCTATATAGATGTATTAATCACTTAATGATTTGTCTTTTGTCATTTTTGTTTTTGTTAGTTTCAGAATAGGACAATATGGTTCTATTCTGTTACCAAAAAGGCACCACTACATAACAAGATTGACACTTGAAATTGCTTCTAATATTTAACATATTTTTAAAATCAATGCTTTTATAAATATATAAATTTAGTATAAGTGCAATTTAAAAAAGTAAAACAAGAAAACACAATTTAAAGAACACAAAATTAGACCAGAAAACAAGAAACCAACTGAATATTTTTGAATGAAGTGATTAAAAAAAATTCAATGAAGCAATTTTATGCCAAATACTAAAAACAAAAATTCATCAATAAAGCCAGAATAACCATTGATTAGGCTAATTAGAATCTGTAATTTTTTTTTTCCTGAAAATTTGTTTATATTTGTAAAATTACAATAATACAAAAAAACAATTAAACATAAATTTTATAAACCATTTTTTCAAAATTTTTGTACATATTCTTTAACTAATTTTCATCTTTAAGTTACAATTATTGTCATGATTATGTTGTATACTGTACATCACAGAGAAAAACATAATGGGTTGATGAAGAAAACCATTTCTTTAAAAGAGGTCGATGCAAGAAAATGTTGGGAATCCCTGATCTAGGGACATTATATATGCATCAGTGTCCCAGTGAGTAGTAAAATGTTGTCTAGCCACTTTCCACTAATACAGTGACAGACATATTTTTTTCAGGTAATACATTTATTTTCCCTCCAACAAATTTATCGAGTTATATTTGTTATCAAAATATTCATGACCATGAATTGCAGGAAAATTATATTATTCTTCAATGGTAGTGAATTTTCAATTACAATTAATATATACAAGCCAGCTCCTGATTAACCAGATCTCGGCCAAAAAAAAAAAAGGTTAAGTTTGTTTATTGCAGAATGGGAAAATTACTATTATAAACCATCAAAATAAAGCAAAATGGTACTTCCTAATTACTATGGCCTCCATTTTGTAAACAGTGTAAAGATTACTGATTAATCACCAACACAACCCATTTTCAATTGGCTGGCCGTCCTAAAGACGATAATTTAGGGTTTTCTCTTGACAAGAAGAGCTACATTTATACAATTGCCTTTGCCTCCCTTTTTTTAAATATACAAATATTAACAATTCACAATCGCTAATAATCCTCTCATCATAAGAATAACAAAGAATATTTCATGTGCTAATGTATTTACTTAGGGGGAAAATTCAAATGTGCAAAGCATTCGTAGGCGATACGTGAGAAAGGAAAAACATATGTTTTGACCGCTGGTTCACTAGTTTTAGAATATTCTTTATAACAGCGAATCAATTTATTTACTGTTGGGCAGAGAACTAACACTGCAGATGTGGCAAAAGCAAATCAGCCTTTACAAAATTATAACTAGTAACAGTTTCATGAGAGTGGTGTATTCTCTACATCTAATCTAACAACCAAAAAGGGAAAAGGTGGCTATGAAAAACAAAACTGATAGGGTTCTTCCACAATATTGGATATTTAGCAGGTTATATCGAGAAACTAGTGATTTCATCTTCCTCAGATTCCAAATAGAGAGGCATCCAGACTCATAGCAAAAATTATAGACTGTGTTCAAAAGCGATTAATGATTTATTGACAGCTAGAGAACATATAAAACAGAAGTGGAAAGAGTAAATTAGAGACATTTTACTATGAACCGTAAATTTTATTCTGCTGACCCAACAACAGCTGCTCGTACAAAAAACATTGAAAGACTGAGTGGTGTGTATGCTAAATGGTGCAATAAAAATCAACAAGGTATGGTTTGCCATTATCATGAGTCTCACCACGTTCATGTGATGCAAACCCTTGGAATGAGAAAATTATGAAAAGAATCACGGAAAGATGGCAGCCACAAAATGCATGTGAGAAATAAACAACAATAATCCTAGCACCAATTTGGTATTTACAAAATATGGAGACTATAATAATAAGGATATGCAGCAAAATTTCTACCTTATATGTAAAAAGAAAAAAATTCACAAGATAATAGCAGCAATAGCAGATGATGATATTAAGATTTTTTTTAAAACTGATTACAGTGTACCTGGAATATATAAACATTGTTAAACCATCCATTAACCTTTTTGCGACGGCGCACCTTTGTTTAAGACGCTCCTCCTGCGGGACGGAAGAAAATCGAAAGCAGTTGCCATACAGGACGGAGGTTTTGCATCGCTAAATCTAATTTTATAAAAAAATCAGAAAAAAAAAAAAAAAAAAGTTTCACTTCTAGCATCGTAATTTTTAGTATCATTTTAGATTATTACTTGAGCTCTTATATATGTTAAAATTACTTAATAATGTTTTTTCTTTATTTTACATGAAAATATACTTTAAAAACTGCTTATCTTGTAAAAATAATTCTTGGAAGCACTATTCAAATTATTCCAAAGTTTTAATTAATAAAAATCCATCAATAAAGTTTAAATTTAATAAAACAACACAATAAAGACTATTTACAGTAAGAAGTAATAAAATTTAAAATGAAGACTGAGTGTGGTAAATCTCAAAGCATGGAGAAGTATCACTTTCTAACTCTTAGAAAAAGTATCACTTTCTAACTCTTTAGAAAATGAATCATCACTCTTATTTGCGTTAGTAAATGGTTCACTAACCATACGAGGGTATTCTTCCTCTGATAAATAGCGCCTTCCCACCATAATAGACTGGAGGTGAAGCTTTCCTAAATAAAAAGAGAAGAAACGGTAATATATCTGAAGGCAATGCAAAACGTAAAAGAACTCCACACAGTAGCCCTAAAAGACCGTACATTGTAGAGGGGAAAAAAAATAGAATAAAAAAAGGAATTGGATATAAATCAGAGAACGTTTTCATTAGGAAGCAGAGATTTAAAGAGCCCACCTCTGTTTATGCTTTCCCTTCCTCCCCACCCTCGCAACAGCTGATGAGTAAAATACCAAAGTCAGGCAATATATATCAAACTCAAGGTCAGGAACTTAAAACTGTGTTCATTTCAAAAGTAATGGACATAGGATGCCATCTAGTGGCCTTCAGAATATTGTTCCAGCTTAAAATGTGTATACGCATCCTCATCCTCTGAATGCAATCTCTAGTGATGTGTGGATGGGACACCCAGACACCTGTAAAGACCCGTCTACACGTAGCGATTTTCTCGGCCGACAATATCTGAGATAGCTTGCCTGCCCACACGGAACGATTTTCTCGTTAGTACAGGAATTCACTCAGCCAATCACTATGAAAGGAAGTGTTCTCGCCCTCTACAGTGTCACACTGTCTACGATTTGTAAACAAAGCTTACAGTATTGTCAAATAGTCAAAATAATGGATGACTATTTTAAATTGCTACTATAGATACAGCTACAATTTTGAACTTAGCTACTGCTACAGAAGGAGAAAAAAAGCATTTGGACCAGAAATTGTGTCAAACGACGAGAAATTCCTAGTGCCTTCGTAATTCCCTGCTCCAGGAGCTGCGTATTGAAGACACAGTACAATTCTGAAAGTATTTACGGATGATGAAGCGTGATTTTGATTTTTTGCTAAATTTAGTTTGCAGGAAATTTATTTTTTTAAAAAAAATCTTTTCTTTTGTGTACTGAGTACGCAGATTACTCCTTTTTAAGTTTATTTATTTTTAAATTTCACTTTCTGGCACTCCTATTTGTTCATTTAAATCTTGAAATGATAAAATAACCATGTTTCAGAAAAAATAAGTAACTACTGTGCTTTAAATCAAAACCTTTCTTAATGAATAAATAGACAATAATATCATGAATATCAAACCAATATGAGTAAAAAGTTCTAATAAAGAATAAAGATTACTACATTACAAAGCAACAGTGTAATTTCAGTGCAAAAATTTTAAATAAGAAATATCATAAAGGTGCAAAGTCTTAAGTAGTATATTTATTGAACGTTAAAAAACTAATACCAGTATAATTAAATAACTAATACAGTCTGAAAACTATGATTATATGACTCTATCAGTTAATCAGCGAATAAAATTTAGCAATATTGAATTAAATTGGGCTGCAATTTGCAAATTTTTTTGCAAAATTCAATTAACACAAAATTGAGTTTGTGACTTTTGATTTTCTTTTGACCAGTAGATCTAAAACACGTGCCAATGACCATTTGAAAAATAAAAAGATGGATGTTAAAATTCAATAACACCCCAACCCGTAGGCGAAAAAAAAACCCGACTTTTAAGTCAACCAGTTCTAATTTAGTGAGGGAGAAACTAAATTAAAAAGTTCTTCCAGGCGCAGAAAGTCCAAAATTAAGGTGGGAAGGCGATCGAACACCACGAACTCAAACGTATGGAGAAAACCTAGTCTACTCTTTACCACTAGGCTACGATCGCTCGTGTAGGAGGTGTTGGAAAAGCTATGTACTTCGTCACCTGATTAACTCCCATTTTTGGCGAAATCAACGAGTCTGCACTACTTTACGCTAATCCGGCCCGTGATTTCTCGAACTAGAGATATTGCTTTCTTGAATTTTTTCAATAAGTGCGACCACAGTTTCAAGGTAGTTTCTGAATATTTTCATCTAGTACCCATGACATTGGCATCATTATTAGTTTTTGGAACTTTTCTTGTGGGGAGTTAAAATAATTTTCACCCTAAATCGAAAATATTTGAGTATATAAAATCGCAATGGGGAAGACAAATCTTATCCAAAATAAGAGAATTCCTTTAATTTTTTATTTTTAAAATTTACATTACTCGTGTCCCACAACATAACATGTTTCTCTATAGATAATCTATTAGTTGAAAAATTTTATTTTCGCTTTAACGAAATACAGCCATGTTTATTATTCCAAATGAGGAGAAAAGCACATGATCACTCATAAGCAATCTAATTGGCTAGAGACTCCGATTTTATCGTACGCTAGTGAGCAGTGAACACCAGTTCTGAAATTGCGGCAGAGAACATGACCGATTTTTGGCGCATGCGCAGATCCTTAAAATTGTTGCTCTATGTGAAAGTTGGCCGAGAAAATCGCTTCGTGTAGACGGGCCTTAGATGTTCTTAGGGAATGCGTATATGGGACGCCCGTCTTGAAAGGGTTAAACGTAAATTGTTAAAACACAAAAATAAATTAAATGTACAACTATTCATCTTTTATTTCTTATTAAATATTATCAAAATACAAGATTAACATAAACAGAATTTCTTTTTTTGTTTTAAAGTGTTTTGCTCTTATTTTGAATGCAGATTTAATTTAACACATCATTCAATAAGTCCCAAGACTAGCTAAAAAACAACACCCATTTCACAAAATTCATGTTTATTCATCAATATAATCACCATCAAGAGCTATGCAATCATTTCAATGCTTTTCTAACTTTTCGATACTATGCTTGTAAAACGATCTGTCCTTGTCCACAAAATAAGCTTCAGTGGCAGCGATGACTTCCTCATTCAAGCATAATCTTTTTCCCTGGAGCATATTTTTTGAGATCAGCAAACAGCCAGTAGTCGTTGGGGCTAGATCTGGGGAGTATGGTGGGTGGGGAAGCAGAGTGAAGCCCAACTGGTTCAATGTAACAAGTGTTTGCATTAACTTGTGGCGCTGGGCATAGTCTTCATGGAAGATGATTTTTTTCCTTCTTCATGTGTGGTCTTTTTTTTTTTTTTTCCCCCGATTTCATCCTTCAGACGCACCAATAACTCATTGTAATAGGTGCTATTGATAGATTTTCTCTTTTCAAGGTAGTTGACTAAATTATACTTCGCGCATCCCAAAACACTGATGCCATGACTTTGCCAGCTGACTGTTGTGTTTTTGGACGCTTCGGACGGCTTTCACCGGATGCACACCACTCAGCTGACTGCCGCTTCGACTTCGGAGTGAAATAAAGCATCCATGTTTCGTACATTGTCACATACAGATGCAAGAAATCCTGTTTATTTCGAGTAAACAGTAACAAACAGCTCTGTGAATCGTCGACTTGCTGTTGCTTTTGTTCAATTGCGAGAACACGCAGAACCCATTTGGAACATGCCCAACTTTTCATGTAAAATCGTACACACACTTCCAGTTGATAAGTTTACCATCTCAGCAACCTCACGAACTTTCACTTTGGGGTCATTCAATATGATTTTAAACACTTGTTTCACATTTTCTGGAGTGACTGCTTCATTTGGCCTACTCGAGCGTGCGGCATCATTTGTATCTGTGCGACCGTGCTTGAAATCAGCATACCAACGGCAATGGTTGTTTTTGATGGAGCAGAGCCTGGATAACATTTTTCAAGCCATTGTTGAGCTTGGACGGTATTTTTGCCCATTAAATAGCAATGTTTGATCAACATTCGAAATTCGTTTTCTCCATTTTGTCCACAAATGCACAAGTAGTGCCCCTTTCACCACAATAGCTTCACTATTTCTTCCGGTCCGAATGCCATGAAAATCATACACGTGTCATTCGAAGGTTAGTTCTCTCGAACAACGAAGTCAAGTTGATATTAATACACCATCTGTCAGTTAGTCCCGGGACTTACTGAACGATGTGTTACATAACCAAATGAATTTATTCCCAAAACACCTTAAAAATGCAGTAAATTGTAAATAGTATTTTCTGTTAATTATAATACAGGTTATTTTTCTTTCCTGTACTTTCTTTAATATGTGGCATAATTGTGGCAAATTAACGCCGATTTTGCGTTAATTGTGGATGTCACACCAGTATGAACCTGGTTAATCAGGAGCCTAGTGTACACACTCACGTGTTTATAATCCTTGATATTGCAAAATATAGGAGCAAAGTTATTAAACAATTGTGTCATGATGATATAAAATAATTAATTATATTACATATGACGAATGGTTATGAACTTTAACAACAATATGTTAATATGTTTAGCAGCATCAAATAAATATCCCCCCTATATAAATAAAAATAAAATACCTGGTTTCCATGCAATCTGTTTCATCGTGAAATTATCCATATCAAATATAACACTATGTGTCTCAATTTTCTTCCCAAGCTGGAAGTATTGAAAATGAACACATTAATATATTATAAAAGAAGCATACAGTTTAACTATTACATTATAAGTAGAATGTAATGATGTATTCATTCCTACAGTCTTGCAATGAGTATATCTTATCACTTTACAGTAATAATAATACTTAAAATAAAACAATTTACAGAAATTAAAACTTTTTATTCAATCAATACCTTCCGACACTATCAGCAGCCTAAAAAAATTAATGAATAGTACATACAAAAATATTTGTATATCTGACATTTCAAACAGTTCACACACTGCACACTTACAGATGATTAAATAATGTTTGACAAAAGCAGAGCTAGATATACAAGACCAAAATAAGAACATTTTGCGAGTGTGTGGAAATAGTAAGTTGAACTGACAGCATTCTGTTGGTGTTAATTGCATATGGATTTGCATAAATTTCGTATGGATTTCAAGTGGTGTGCATCATTAAATGAATGCAGAGTTCACAGACATGCATTTTTCGTATAGAACTATGGATGGAAACATAGCAGCAATTCAAAAGAGGTAGTAAAACCATTCTCTGTTCTTTGAGTAACTTCTCAGTTTTAAACAAAGCCACATAGATCAAATGCATGCTGGCAAAGTCTGTGTTTATACAGCAACATATATTACTTGAGATCTGCACAGGGAACAACGAGTGACACCAGAAAAATGCTTGTACCTACTCCTCAATTGCCCTGCTCCACCTTAAAATGCCATTTGCGTACACACATTCCATTGGAAAATCTACTTATTTTTCTCTATATTTTTAAATTATCCTTTATATTTTTACTTCCATATACAAGGTAAAGGAAGTATTGTAATTATGAAAAATTTTGGGCATCATATTTCACTGCGATATTTTTGTGCGATATCTATAGATATGAACAGAATAAAGGACTCCTTTCCCCCCCAAAAAAAGATTGTAAAATGGATTCAGACAAGAGATTTTCTTGTAACATTTGTACATATGCATAACTCAATAATGAGAAGCCATAGAATGTTGAAATTTTGTATCTGACACTACTATAACTTGTAGTTGTATACCTCTCTCTTTCATTGCTGTCCATATATATATATATATATATATATATGTAAGATAACAATGTATGAATCAGAATTATAATATAACTATAAACATTAATTCTTCCTCGCTATTCTAAAATCGTAATAACTTATCTGCATTGCGTCATTCAAATTAATCATGCGATCTTACGTAACCGTTAATACCAGATGCCCTCTTGACAACCAATCACCGAATTGTAAACCAAAACTTTTCTCTTCGCGTGCTTCCATCTTGCATAACTACGCACTTCATGATTTATGTTTTTTTTTTAATTTGCTAGTGTTTGTAACGTCTTTTCTCTTTGAAAAAGCTTCTCTGTCGCTACGCCTTTTTCTTTTGAAGGGGGGAATTTGTAAGATAACAATGTATGAATCAGAATTATAATATAACTATAAACATTAATTCTTCCTCGCTATTCTAAAATCGTAATAACTTATCTGCATTGCGTCATTCAAATTAATCATGCGATCTTACGTAACCGTTAATACCAGATGCCTCTTGACAACCAATCACCGAATTGTAAACCAAAACTTTTCTCTTCGCGTGCTTCCATCTTGCATAACTACGCACTTCATGATTTATGTTTTTTTTTTAATTTGCTAGTGTTGTAACTCTTTCTCTTTAAAAAGCTTCTCTGTCGCTACGCCTTTTTCTTTTTGAAGGGGGGAATATGTAAGATAACAATGTATGAATCAGAATTATAATATAACTATAAACATTAATTCTTCCTCGCTATTCTAAAATCGTAATAACTTATCTGCATTGCGTCATTCAAATTAATCATGCGATCTTACGTAACCGTTAATACCAGATGCCTCTTGACAACCAATCACCGAATTGTAAACCAAAACTTTTCTCTTCGCGTGCTTCCATCTTGCATAACTACGCACTTCATGATTTATGTTTTTTTTTTTAATTTGCTAGTGTTGTAACTCTTTCTCTTTAAAAAGCTTCTCTGTCGCTACGCCTTTTTCTTTTTGAAGGGGGGAATATGTAAGATAACAATGTATGAATCAGAATTATAATATAACTATAAACATTAATTCTTCCTCGCTATTCTAAAATCGTAATAACTTATCTGCATTGCGTCATTCAAATTAATCATGCGATCTTACGTAACCGTTAATACCAGATGCCTCTTGACAACCAATCACCGAATTGTAAACCAAAACTTTTCTCTTCACGTGCTTCCATCTTGCATAACTACGCACTTCAGCTTTTGCTCTCTACTTTGCTAAGATGTAATTTCGCTGGCTTGCTTTCTATCTCAGCAATATCAAAAATGTAAATCCTCTGTGGAAAGGCACGACTAGAGTGCCAAGTGATTGTGGTCACAAATATCAATTGGAAATAAAAATGGAATTAAAACTGCCTCGACTGCCAAGCTTTTTCCTTTCCTTGTGCTTTTAATATGACATATATATATATATACATATATAAAACTGAGCTTATCAAGCCCGGTAACAGAATAAGAATATATACTCACTTCATTACTCGTCTTGGCAAGCTGTTTTTTTATTTTTTATTTTTATTTTACTATTTGTACGAAGGGAAGGAGGTATTGTAATTGCAAACAAATTCAGGTATATTTCAATGAAAATATTCATTTCAACGACTCTTGAAACCAACTGAATGATGTTTTTGCATGACATCTGTATGTATGAACAAAATAAAGGACTTTAACACGTAATCGTGCATCACCCTTTTCTGCTGCAATTGACTGTACCAATTATGTACATGTATATATATATTCCCACTCTGTTACCTGGCTCAGTGAGCTTAGTTTTTATTCTTATATGTTAGTAAATTGTGCATTTCTTGCTTTAAAAGTGACTGAATTACGCAATTTTTATGTTCCAGTTAAGATTTTTATGCCTTTAGTTAATCTCCATGCAATAGTTGTAGAAATATCAACAATTTTAAAACTCAAGTGTCTAGTTAAGCCTAATGAACACCATTTGTTTACATGTGAAACTCACTAGAAGAGTGAATTAAGTCAGTTTCTGCACCTTCAATGTCGTTTTGCCAAGCAGGACCAAAAGAATCTGCCTTCTTGCCGAACTGCTTTTTTTTGCATAGAAACTAACTTTAATTGCAATTTTTCTTTAAAATTGTATTTCATGCTTTACCATTTTCTCTATTTTACAATTTTTAGTGAAGATGTTTTGATGTTTTATGTATTTTTGCTTTGCCATGAAGTGAGAACTGAATTAATTGAATGAGAAAAAAGCATTTAATAAAATTTGAGGAAATAAATTTAAATGAAATGCAGCCAAAAAAATAAGTAAAATTTAATAGATTATACAAGGAAGTCATGTGGTATCTACATCAGATTTTTTTATTTGCATATATTGGTAAATTGTGAATTTTTTTCAAGTGATGAATTATGTTCTTATATTTCAGTTATGGTTTTTATGCCTTTAGTTAATCTTCAAGCAACATTCAACAACTTTAGTGTAATTATTAACAGTTAAAAAATGTAAACTCCCTCAGGACGTGTATATCATATATGCATCAGCAGTTAATCTTCTTACGAGATGGCATTCCATTCATTAAAAATACTTTTTTTACCAATTGTTTTGATTTTTTCTGTGATGGTATCTAACACTAATATAATCATAAATACAGAATATCGAGAGAAATTCAAAATAAAATATTTGACTCTTCATAAAATGTAAAAAACTTACTTAAATCTCTTATCTAAACATACGTGAAAAATAACAAAATATATGATAAAATATTATAGCATAAATGATTCTGAAAGGAAACAGTGTGTGATAATTTAGACGCTAACATTTCATTAGTTATGAAATACATTTTCAGGTTGAACTTTTTAATTATTCCATCCCAGCAAAATAACCAATTCTAGGAATCCCCTCATTTTAGACACATCTAGAGGAATATGTTGATTTTGGATGACAATGAATTTTCACTCTTCTTTTGTTCACAGAAATTACTAATTTCAACTATTATATTCATTAGATTATCGAAAAAATGGTGAAAAAATCAATTTCATTTTCATAACTTTGAAATAAGTTTACTTCTGCAATTGCCCTAAATTCCTGAGGCTTCAATTACTTAACAGAGTTTGTGACAGAGTAGTCACTAATCTGCTGGAATGTGAGGTGAAAGAAAACAAACTTTCGTCCCTGAGAAAATTTTATATGAAAATCGCTATTCTCATTTAAATCTAGAGTTTTTTGTGTCAAAATAGTCACTCATGGTCACAATTTGAATTAAAAACATTCTCTTAGACATCACACTATTAGTTTAACTTATGTCTGCTACCTAAAGAAGATGGAAACTGAATATAAACTGGAGTTCTTAAAACCACAGCTCCACAAACAATCTTTAATCAAGTTAATTTAAATGAAATTTAATACAAACAAATGAATAATTAATTATTGTTGCGAACTAATCTACAATACCATTTAAATTCTGAGAGCATATGTAAATCAAGTGCAAGTATCAAAATCCATGTATAAATATAAAATTAAAATTCCAAAATTTATTTAATCCTACAAAATTTTTTTAGAATAATTCATAAATAAATGATTGTTGAGCAGGCAGGAGACAGACTTATCAAGAGAAAGTTGCATCCAAACCTAACTCTTCAATCATTCTATTCGTGTTTCGTCATTCATTTAGACAAGGGTAAAAGTCAAAACCAAAAGTAATACCAAATGTGGTAAATTACCAAAAAGAAATTTAAACAAGTGGAATTTTGAGAAATTAGCAATTAAAAGACAAGTATTAAAATTTAAAAATTATAAAAAATTAAAAAAATAAGAGTAGAAAACCAAATTTTGGAACTCTTGCCCACAGAAACTTCCTCTACACGAATTATGCATATACATTAGACATTATCTATAAAAAACAATACATAAATTATACTTAAAAAGTACTAAAAAGACAAATAAATAGTCAGTTTTAATTTCAGGGCAGAATCATTGCCAAACTAAGTGATGTCACTAGTGTTTTATTAATTTAACCTTACATTAGTGCCAATGTAAGTTTAAGTTGAGTGTACAGTTGCTATCTGTGATCAATTTTAAAAAACCCTATTCTGTAAAATTTTTTGTAAAATGTGTGTTCTGTTGTAAAATTGTGTAAAAAAATTGTAAAATGCAAACTGAAACGTGTGTGAAAAAATGTTGCAAAATATTAAGGAATGTAAAATTTAAAGGATGTGAAAATTGAAAAAGTGTACTAATAAAATTTTGAAGTAAAATTTAATTTTAATTTAGATTTTGAAAAATTTTTGATAAAATTTTTTTTAATGTTAATTAAAGAAAGAATTTATTGTAATATTCTAAATTATTAAAATCAGATTTCAAGTGGTTTAATTAAAACTTCACTAAATACTGGCCAAAAGTAAGGAAAATTAGAAAAAGATAAAAATCTTCACTCAATTCAGGCTATAATTGAGACTTTTGAAAAGAGTTGGCCCTTCATTAGTAAAAGGAAAGTATCCAGTATTGATTATATATACATATTCACAAATTAATTTTTACAATATTTATAAGATAATCCCTTAATTCTTCAAAATCCTCCATTACCCTCCAGTTAAGGTTTAAGGTAATGTTATCATACCATAAAGAGTCAAAAAATTATAAAGAAAAGTTATGGCCTGTCTTTTTAATATATAAATTAATAAAATTGGGTTGGGATATGGTGATTAACTTGAACATTAATTAGCTTTATTATTTCTTCCTTTAAATCTTCTATTTCAGTACATATATTTTTTATTCTGATTATTCTATAAAATGTGTTTCCTATTACTTTTTAGAGATAATTATTTAAAATTAAATTTAACTATATTCTATTGAAGTAATTACATAATTATATCCAATTGAATACAAAACTGTAATTACTACATAAATAATTATACTATTTGACATGCATCAAAAACTTTTCTCAGTGAGCATGTTTCCCCCCTCCCCAGAATATTGTTAAAATGTTTGTATTGATTTTTTTGGGAAGGGAAGAAGATATTATTTTTGGAACCTAGTTAAAATTAACGAAAAATGCTTACTTCTTCAGTTTGATCTTTCATATCTTGTTCACTTATCTCCATGAGCTTAACAACATATTTTATAAATTCAGATTTCTTAACAGAATAAAACATTCCTGAAAATAACAATTAGAATAAAGATAAAAAAAAATTATTAAGCATGAAAGTATAATGCTGAAAACAATATGTAAATAAAAGATGAATAACATAATGCATATTTTTATAATGAATTAGAATACCTTTGATATCCATGTGACCAAAAGGTATAATCCATACAGGACAGCCTTCTTTATCATGTCCAACTAATCCACCAGGAAAGTACTTTTTCAATACCTAAAACAAAAATACCATATAAATGTGGTGTCTGATTAAATGGACACGTTTTTGCATTCAGTAATCAGATGGATGACACATGAGAGTTATGCATATGATGAATTCTAGATAAGATGAATTCAATTAGGCAAACAAAACTTCCAAATTATCGAAGATGCTTATCTAACAAATAGATTGTGTAATATTGTATTAATTGAGTTTGTGAAAAGAAGCATTACAAGATTGAAAAATATTTATGGCTAAATAACTTATTACATCAGCAACAAAGAAATAATTTTACTCCAAATCCATCATTCAGAATACAGTTGCTCATACATACAAAATATTTATATTTTCTACCGTAAGGTTTCCAACAGCTTGAATATTGAGCACAATTTATTTCTGGTTCTCTTATATTATCGGAACCGGCTTCAGAAATGTATGTATGCATATACACTGCTCGACAAATGCAACTCCAAGAAAGATTGGTCAGAAAGTGACGAAATTTGGAAAAAAGAGACAGCAAGCAGCAATAAGTGATCTTTATTTCAAAATGATAGTCAGAATACATAGCGAGAACGGAGTCGGCACAGCATCACCACCGCGGACAGCGATGCACGAAGAAACACGCCTGGGCATATAGTTAATAAGAGTGCGGATGGTGTCCTGAGGCATGGATCTCCATTCCCTTTCAACCATTTGCCGCAGTTCGTCTTCTGAACGAGGCAGAGGCAGAGTCTGCAAACGGGGTCCAATCAAATCCCACAGATGGTCGACTGGTGACAGGTCAGGAAAGTACGGTGGCCAGGGAAGCATCTGTATATACCTTGCAGAGCATCTTGGCAGATGCGAGCACTGTGTGGTCGGACGTTATCCTGCTGAAAAATTGCATTAGGCACCCCCTGAAGGTAGGGGATTGCCACCGGCCGCAGTACATTATCCAAGTATCGTTGGGCCGTCATAGTGCCCTGAATACGAACTAGAGGTGACCTGGAATCATAGGCAATAGCGCCCCAAACCATTATGCCAAGTTGTCGCGCAGTGGGGCATTCCACAGTTACTGCTGGATTAGGTCTCCACGTCGACGCCACATACGTATGCGCCGACTGTCACTAAATAAACAGAAGCGTGACTCATCTGAGAACACAACGTTTCGCCATTTTGTCATCCACATCGCCCCATTCCGGCACCATTCTAAATGTAGGCGTCTATGCTGTGAGGTCAATGGCAGTCTTCTTAACGAACGCTGTGAGTGCAGGCCACGTTCAAACAATCGACGGGAAATGGTCCTGGTCAATACGGGAACATCCAGGGTATTTTTCACATGCTGCAGAATTGCGGTACAAGTGACTTGCGGGACCACCACAGCTTGTCGGCGGATGCGTCAATCCATGCGTGCTGACGTCACTCAGGCTGCAACCTGTCATACATACAAAATATTTATATTTTGTATGCACCCCGTCCTTCTTTCAACCATGTTCGCCATATCCGATGAACCGCGCTCGCATCCATGTGGGTATCAGCTGCAATTTGACGTAAGGACCAACCCGCCCTTCTCAGTCCGATCACCATACCCCTTGTAAAATCGTCTATCTGCTGGAAGTGCCTTCGTTGACCGCGGCCTGGCATTCTCTCCTATTACACGTATCCTCCGTGACAAAAACCAACTTTCTTCGATAATTCATCTGGTAGAAATAATGACACGAATATTGCCCATTCTGCACGTTCCTTACCTTATATCTTACTTCACGTGTGTCGGATGCTGAGCATTTCCCATCATTCGCATAACTCAGTGATGTGCGTCTACTCTAAAATTTGCATAAATTTCTGACCACTCCTTCTTCGTGTTGCATTTTCAATGTCGAGCAGTGTATATATGGATGTACTGCTCAAAAGAGCAAATTCGACCGGTGGCGAAAACCGGTTCTTCCAACATATCTCATTCACACAGCAAACAAGCATTAACTGCCTCTCAGAATTGGAGCTAGAATACTCCTACCTCTCTGGAGCATCGGCAAATGGGGAGATTTCCCATACTGCACTGTGTGATTCACTTAATTTTAGTAAAACAACATGGCTGATTGCTGCACTGTCAGCAAAACAATCATCCAAAAAAATTAGATTCAACCATACGAGATATGGAAATTTATAAATAAGTATAGACAAGGTTATCTGATGCTGGGTATTCCAGAAATACTGTTCAGATTAAACCTAAATAAAGGCAATTAGTCATGCATATTGGCTTCAATGTGACAAGGGGACTCGATACATTTTGAATATTTTTTTTTATTTATGAGCTTTCATCTACTCTTTATGAATATTATTAAATGGTTTTGTAAGACAAAATGATTTTAACCTTTAAAAAAAAAAAAAAAAAAAAAAAAAGTCGGTAATTTTTTCTCTAACTTAAATTTTTTGAAGATAAATTTAACAATTAAAATGTCTTTCTTCTCCCACAATTTTCAATGTTTCATACTCAAATTTTTTATTGTATTTATTAGAGTGTTCTTAATAACTTTAAGGATCGAATTTGCAATTAATGAATTAGTTTCTGAGGAAAAAATAAAACACATTTTATGTAAAAACTTTGAAACAAATATAATCTCGATCACATTTTCACTTCAAATGATTTTTTTCTTATTCGTATTTTGCAAAGCCCATCCTTGTTTCTATAATGAACATAATTTCAAATAAGCAGTAAAAATATTAAATAATTTAGTTCATATCTGTATAAGTTTTAGGACTTCAAGTGAAAGGACTTATCGAAAAAATCCTAATTGAGAAAATGCAGTTTAAAGAAGTAAACTATCTAAATGGTCATTAAATCATTTCAAATTCCATAAAAATTTTACTACTGAATTTCAATACATATTGTATATTTAACAAAAACATAGTGCTATTCAATTGGTTAACATAAACTACAAGCTTTTATTTAAAATCTTTGTAAAACACACCTTCAAAACAATTTTAATACATGAATTAATCATAATATATTTTGTAAAGCATTTTAAATTCAATATTAAAACATTTATAATTAATATGAATAATACTGTCTTTTTATTCATTTTTTCAAAAAGTAAAGTTTGAAATTTCAACAGACAAAGTATTTCATTTAAAACCGTTCAGCAACATATGTGATTTCTTCTTTTCTTTTAACCATTTGGTCTAGTATATAAATTGCATTTTAAATTAATTTATCTGTATTTCAATTAATTAAAGTGTTATATTCCGATAGCATTCTATAGCATTAGTAAACAAACATTAGAAATCTGTCAATCAGATTTACTTTTGTGACATCTTTGCTCGGAGTGGCTTACGAATTAGGAAGACGATGTGCAATTGAAATGGTCTTGAGGGCGAAATTACTTCATACCTCTTTTTCTCACTAATACAAATGTAAGAAAGAGCATTGCATGTGAACAGGACTTATGTGTTCAAGTATGCATGTTAATAAGCATGTGCGTATGTTTTATACATGCACACATATATGCACATAGACATGGGATCTTTCAGGATAAGTCAAAGGAAAGAAAAAAGAATGACATGAACACCTGATGTAGAAGAGATGGTGCTCTGTTATGCAGATAGAAATCCCCATGTGAGCACACGAGTGACTGTCACAAACCATCATCTGAAGAATCCTGTACTTGAACCACTTACAATTACACGTACAACAACTGCTGTACGTAATGGTACAAGCATAAGTGTGCAATGGAGCCCCATTTCCAGCTGCAATCCTGTTCATAAACAAGGCATACTTTAGCAGAGAAGGCTACTACAGCGCACATACCGCATATGTATGGACACGGGACAATCCCAAGAGTACCCAAACACATGCAGCACAGCATTGGACTTCTATAAATGTTTGTGGTGGGGGCACTATTGGTGTTCAATTTATGTCCACATATCATTCATCAGAATGGATGGTCTTGTAAGATTTTCTTAGAAGAATCTTGCCTGGATTGTTAGATGAGCAATGCATTCTGCAGCTGTGGTGCAACAACATTTGATACTAGCATGATTGCGCTCTACCTTATTTTACTACCCCCATTTGACAACACATGAATTGAACATTTCGTCGAAGATGGATTTGTTGTGGTCACTGTCTTGCATCTTTGCTGGATCTACCTTACCTGACTACCGGACTTGATTTCTTTCTCTGGGGTTACTTGAAAAGACTGCTGTACAAAACCCTTATGGCCAATGAGAAGAATTTTGTCATGCGCATTAGCGTAGCTAGTATGCATGTCTTTCATGAGATTCTCATATATTCCAAAAAATCCATGAGACCATGCTGGTTTATGCTTGTATCATAGCTGGCAGCTATAACTTTAAATACTTAGTCTGACCTCTGAATATTGCAACTGTTAGAATGTGCTAAAAAATTGCCACCCAATCAGTATAGCAATTACTGATGCTGACTGCCATACCAAATGGCATAGGTTCAAATTTCAGAGAAGGCATGGATGTTTGTAATAGTATAGTATCTGTGTGGCAAGGGGGCATTAAAAATACATGACTAGCCTCTTGAGAGGTTGGTGGTAGGGGAAAAATAGTGGGAGACTGTTGGACTGCCCTCCAGGGATGTTCTACCTCAGATGGAATTGCACAGTTAGTGCAGCAGGACTATACCTGAATGACCAATGATGAATTTCCAGCGTCCCATCCACTTCTATCTATACCTGATTAAAATATTAATATTCAAATTGCTCTTTCATTTCTTGTTTTCTTCTCTGCACACTAACACACAAGGATTGCATTTCCATTCCTACATTGTTATATAATTTCTGATAACTTGCAAAATGCGTGGCTCAAATACATATTTTATATAAGCTTGTTTTTGACAAGTAACTGCACTGTTATTGAATAGGCAACTATTCCATATTTATATACATATATGTAAGATATCAAAATATGAAGAAAAATTCATTACAATATTAAACTTAATAGAAACGGTCCTTTTAAATTCTTAATTTTAATTGCATTCATACCCTCTTCAAGGCTCCATACTGCACCATGTTATGTCATGTTTTCCCTGCAGTCTTTTGCTCAGTCCTTATTCAGGATTAAAACAAAGATCTTCTGAGCGAATAAATACTACTGCAGTTATTACACATCACTCTTTTACTGCTTGCTCTGCCAAGGAATATCACAACTCTTCGCTAAACTTTTTTTTTTTCTATTACCTAAAATGTAAACTGTGTATATACAAGGCGAGACTGAAACGTAAGGTGACTCACCCTTCGTTTCGAAAATGAGAACAGCCCGACCACCTGACACATGTGCATTACGATCTTCAGTATGCAACATTGAAGTTCAGGATTATTTGCAAAGTTTCTTATTTCGTGTTTGTTTGTGCAATCGCTTAAATGTGAAAGGTGTTAGTGCATTGCGTAATGGAGCAGAAAACGAATCTAAAATTCTGTTTTAAAGTGAGTAAAACTGCTACGGAAACCTTGGAAATGCTTCGAAGTGTGTATGGAGAAGAAACTTTATCTCACAAGGCAGTATTTCAGTGGTTCAACTTTTCCGTGAAGGTCAAGAAAGCGTGGAGCATGAGCACCGCAGTGGAAGACCACTGATGAGCAGAAAACGTCAATTATTGAAAGAGTTAGGAAGTTATTGCTTATTGTTTATATTCCGAATAATGGCCAACGAATTTAATCTTTCTCGTGAAATCGTCCGAACAAAATTGAAGCAGGATTTGGGTAAATGGAATCTTTGTGCAATGTTTGCCCCTCATTACTTATGCGATGAACAAAAAAAGCAGCAAATGGACTCTTGTGGCAACTTCATCAATGCAGCAGACAAAAATGACACATTTTTACAGTTAATCATCACAGGAGGTGAACTATGGTGTTTGCGTATGATCCACAAACGAAACGCCAAAGCATGGAGTGGCGCGATCCCTCATCGTCGAAATCGATCCTTTGAGACGTTTCGTTCTGCAAAATCAAAGGCTAAGTCAATGGTGATTACCTATTATCCATAAAGAATACGTCCCGAAAGGTCAAACAGTTAATGGTGAATTTTATTGCCATGTTATGAAGTGCCTCTTGGCTTGCATTCGCCATGTTCGGCCCCATCTCGATGCATCAGGCAAGTGGTTTCTGTTGCATGATAATGCACGCCCTCACACTGCAATGTGTGTTAGATGGTTCCTCGCGAAGCAAAGTTACGGAGTTATTTCACCCTCCTTATTCCCCTGACCTTGCGCCAGCAGACTTTTTCCTCTTTCCATGACTGAAATTGGCACTAAAGGGACACTGATTTTCAAGCATCTCAGAAATTCAAGCTTCTGTTACCAAGGAGCTTAACCCAGTCTCAAACAAAGATTTTTTGAAAAGTTTCCAAAAACTTGTATGAATGTTGTCAGAAGTGTACTGTAGATGGCAGGAACTACTTTGAAGGACAGTGATGTATTTATATGTAAATATATAATACAGTTATTAATATGACCTCAGTCACCTTACTTTTCGGTCTCTCCTTGTAGAAATTGTAGGGTGCATTTAGCAGCCCTAATATTGTATCAGTTTCAGCTAAAAGGTATTTCTAGATCATTGTTCTTGTTCCAAATAAAAATGATGTTTTGACCATCCAGCCAGCTGTGATTTTCACTCCAGTCAGATTTAAGCAGGAGTTCTTGGCCATAACTAAAAAATGAATTGGTTTCATCTTTACCAAAAAAACTACATTATCATCATACTGCCTCTCACTTAGAAACATCCAACTTTTCCTTCAAAAACTCTTAGCAACACAAGGATAGAATTAATGTCATGCAATCTCCTTACCAGAAATATGCATATTTTGTTTAACTTTGTAGAGACATTAGGTATTTTGGAAGCAGGAAAGATAAAAAATATGCAATGCTTTCATCAGGAATCGAATCATGGACCTCTAAAATATGCGCCCAGCATGCAGACCACCACCACGAAGGCATGCCAAGAAGGTAGGAGAAATACCTTATATACTTTCACTTTTAAAGGGTGACTAGGGTTTCTAGGGGACCCAACTGCCAAATCTTGGGTGTGGAGAGTCATCATCCACTACCCTTTTAGTTCAGGCGCCACTTGTAGAGACATTAGGTATTTTGGAAGCAGGAAAGATGAAAAATATGCAACGCCTTCAACGAGAATTCTCTTCAATACGTGCCCAGCGTGCAGACCACCACACCACAAAGGCATGCCAAGAAGGTGGGACTCTGATATACCTGAATAGCCTTATAACCTCACTTTGGCTATTCAGGTATATCAGAGTCCTATAATGAAGTGATGGTGGCACCTAGCCCGTTGAACACCAAAAGTGAAAGGTCTTAGTTACTGACGAATACCATTAATATAGCACATATGTATGCAAGTTTAAACTATTAGAGGCAATTAACCCTAAGCATAAAATTCCAAGTTTATACATTTAAAAACATGAAGGAAAAAAATAAAGAAAATTTTATTTGAAACTAATAACAATTTTGCTTATGATGTCTGAAAAAAATTAAAAATTGTTTTATATTACTAATAAATGATGCATTTGAGATAGCTTTGCATGTCAAACGGTTAAAATACTGTCTACAAAAGAAATGTACAAAGCAACGTTTCTAGGGTACATAAACAGAATTAAAGTATCTTTCACTTAATCCAAAATCAGCAAAGCAGATTTGAGGAAAGAAGCTTGGGTGTCGTTCATCAAAAATAGATACCTGTTATGCCTCAAACCCTTATTTGTCAGATTTCTCAATCTTTAACCTCTCTATTGAACTGGTTCTGTAGCTTTCTGACAATTCAAGCTATCCAGTGATGCAATGTCCAGTTTATGACATACCTCCCCCCCAAAAAGTCTTTCAACAAACGCTTTTAAGAATGCTAGAAGCTATAATATAATGCAAGTATGCGTGTCACTTTGAAGGTGACCAGGTAAGTTTTTCCCCCATCTCCAGAATAGAACTGTCCCATAAACATTTTTTGCAAATTTTCTGAACACAAAAGCATAATATGAATGAGTAAGTGCTTACCTCATGTGGTTCGTAGTCATCAATTAATGATTCAGCTCCAATCTGTTTTCGCCACTGCAAACTCTGAAACATACACAGATTTTCACAAATATTTCATTATAAAGATTACAGATTTATTAATAATTGTAAAGTTTTGTAATATATAGAATATATTCAAAATAAATAAAAAAATGACTGTGAAACAAACTAATCATGATAAACTTTCTGGTATTTAAGTAGTATGAATATTAATACTTTCCTCCTTCACATAATACATAACATTTCTTCTTACAAAATACACAGACGTTTTTTCATTCATGTGAAGTTCATCAGATACTGTTTTTTAACTTAAGAATGAGTTAGCAAATGGCATATTATATACAGTGGTGGCCAAAATTGTGGACACTTTTGGAAATTTTTATGTTTTTGAACTTTGTATGCTTATAGAAAACATTGCTTCGCAAAATGCAAACTTGTATATATCATTTTAAAGATAATTTATTACTGAATTCAATATAAAATACAAAATTCAATTATTTGCAATACAAAAAAGTTAAACGATAATAGTTATCGATATACATTAGATAGTGATGATTGCAGCGAGTTATCAGTACTTAGTAGGGTACCCTTTATTTTTGATTACAGCTTCACATCGACGTTTCATTGAGCTGACAAGAGTTTTAAGCTCTTTCGTTATTACATAATGCCAGGAAACAATTATAGCCTCAATCAGTTCTCTTCTATTTGATGAGCGCCTCATTCAAGAGTTTTCAAATGGTGCCACAAATTTTCGATAGGATTGAGGTCAGGACTGTTTCCTGGCCATGACAACAATTTAATGCTCTTTGTACGAAACCACTCTTTCGATATTTTGGCCATGTGGCAAGGAGCAGAATCCTGCTGAAAAATAAATGAAGCATTGTTGGGAAAGAGATCTTTGATGGAAGGTAGAAGTTTTGGTTCTAGAATAGTGTCAATGTATTTTCTGGCATTCAGTGTCCCATCGATGACATGAAGGTGACCAATACCATCTGCTGACATGCATGACCAAATCATAACACTAACTGGGTTAAGACACAATAACACGCCGAATAAATACTAATTCAGAAGTCAAACAACAAAAATCAGCGTTAATTTACAAAATTTTCACAGGACTAGTTTCGATGGTTTTACCGAACCATCATCTTCAGCTGCAAAACCGTATATTCCATCCAAATTTGCGGTTTTGCAGCTGAAGATGATGGTTCGGTAAAACCATCGAAACTAGTCCTGTGAATTTTGTACATTAACGCTGATTTTTGTTGTTTGGCTTCTGAACTAACTGGGTTCTTCACAGTTTTTTGAATGCAGTCAGGATGTAGCTCTTCTCCTATTCTACGTCTTACATATTTTCACCCATCATTACCGAATAACGATATCTTAGTTTCATCACTCCATATAACTTGTGACCACTGATCATCTGTCCAATTAATGTGTTCCTTTGCCCATTGTAGTCTTTTTTTTTTTCATTGCTGAAAATTAAGATAAGGCTTTTTTCGTGGAATTCTACCTCTCAGTCCAGCATCTGTTTAATCTTGTCCTGATTGTTCTTGAACTGACAGAAACACCAGCATCATTCAGATCACTTCTGATGGCCGCTGGTGACATTTTTCTATCTTGGAGACATAGTCCCAAGTCCCTGTCATCAATAGATGTGGTGCACCTTTTTCGGCCTTTTCCTTCTTTGTTTTTTATTGAATTTGTCTCCTGATATCGTAAACAAAACTTTCGGACTCCAGATGTAGTCACTGAACCACAAACCTGTCTTGCAATTTCAGCATAGGAAAGACCACTTTCTCGTAACACAATAATATTACATCTCTTTCTAGGTGTCCAATCTACTCTTTTATTTGATATCATTGCTTCTTGACTAAATATTAAAAATTTTTACAAAAATTCCTACTTGTAATTGCAGTGTTTAAGAAACAGGTCCTAATTCTACAGAACAAAGCAAAATAATGAATTGTTTCAAGTGTAAACATGATGTCAGCTTCTACTGGCAGTTACTAACATTTGATTGGTTCTCAGAACAAGAACAGTGATCGGCCAGGAAAGCTAGACATTACAAACCACTTCATAACTGTATTTTTTATTTATATTAAAGTACATATAACTTTTTTTATTGCAAATAATTGAATTTTATGTGTTGTATTGAAGTCAGTAGTAAATTCTCTTTAAAATGATATATACAAGTTTGCATTTTGCGAAACATAACATTTTCTATAAGCATACAAAGTTCAAAAACATAAAAATTTCCAAAAGTGTCCACAATTTTGGCCACCACTGTAATCTTTAAAAAATTAACCAGATATATTACTAATGATAAATTAATAAATGAATACAGTTAAGTCAATACAAGGAATTTCATTTCAGTGAGAATTTTGAGCAAAGAATTCCATTAAGAAAACCACTATATTGACACATATTCCATCCAAATAGAGATAACAAAATCACCTCATGTAAATAGTATGCTAAGAAAAATCTTCCCAGATATATTATAAATACATTTAAAAACTTTTTCAAGCATTATTCAAATGGTTCTACACAAAATGGAGATAACAGCCAAAAGATAAAAAGACTTGAAGGAAAAAAAATATTTAAAAATGCTGAAAAATATTACATTATACAGCAATAACAAAACAAGCTGAAAAAATTGCAAATATTTTAAAATAAGCCTGGAAGATTACAGATTATACATCCATGAAATGGTCAACTACAGAAAAGAAAGTAGATTAAAATTTACTTTCATAAAGAAGGTTCTGATCTTATGGGGGGGGGCAACAGTTTATTTAACTCATAAAGTGGATGAGCCATACCATATTCGCTTGCATATTTTCTCCCCTTAGCTCTGCACAAGGTTTTGAAAATTTTTTAAGTAATCATATCATTTTCCTCTTCCTCATGATGTTCAGACAGCAAGCTCCCCAAAACTTTAAAATAGATTCACCAATTAAGTGACTGTTTATATCTGATTTGCTAGTGGAATTTAGGTCTGAAGCAATAACAGTGAAGATATTCAAGTAATCAAAGATATCTAATATTGTTGATGGTTCTAAAGATCACCGCACTTGGGACAACAGACTGAATGTTGATGAAGTCATTTATGGTGACTTGCAATCTGTAGTAGTAGATGACAGACAGCACTTCCAGCGCCAACAATCAGTGCAGACAAAATTCAAGGTATAGGGGAGTAGAAATGAAGATATCTTATCAGACAGTGCAACATTAATACTAAACATTCTTTATGACAGTTACCATTAGTTTATCCATGAATACTTTTCATTCATTTCATAAATTTAATTACTCGCATTCTCAATTTTGGTGTGAAAAAGTTAGTAACAAAAAAGAGAGAAAATATATCAGGATACGTAAGTTTTACATACATATTCTTGTGAAATACATCCAAATCATTAAGGCAGTACATTGGTAGAAAAATATCCAGGCACAAAATGGCACAGGATTTTTAAAATTATAATCAAGAAAACCTTATTTTCTGATCGTCTTCTTTTGTAACATTTTTGTTTTTAGGACTGAACAATTTGTTATTTAGAAACTTAACATAAATGCTAACTCTCACTATGCAAATCAGTAGTATAATTGCAATATGCAGAAAGACTACTGTACTGCAGCCCTCATATGGAAGGGATACATTTGAGGGTAATGATGGTGATACTACTGAATGTCATAAAAGTATAATTACATTAGTATAGCTTCACACTCAAAATGGTAGTCACAGAAAAGGTATAGAAATGACAGATGAGCAAAATTAAGGATCATTTATAAATTTGGGCATAAATTAAGGACCAAAAAATCATTAAAAAATATCCAAGGACTTTTAAGGAGCATACAAGCTTTGTTCAAGCAAAAGACAATGACAACAGAGCTTTTCATAAACATACCTTTGCCCCCCAAATACAGTTTATCCCTTTTAATGTTAATTTAGTCAGAATAACAATTCATCCTCTCTTAATGAAATGTTTTCATGTATAAAAGAATGCTAGATTTTTTCAAGTGCTATACATAGAAAAGAAACCAAAACAAACAAACAACAACAAAAAAAGGGGGGCAGCAGTTTTTGATTGTGAGCTTGCTACATTAAAGATTTTCTATAAGATAATTCAACTGTCTAAATACAAAACACCGATGTCAAACTAGACTCCCTTTTTATCCAATTTCATTTCAAATGGTCATGTTTCGTCAAGAATTTTTTTTTTTTCTTTCCATGAATCAATTTTATGTTGTCAGTTTTAAGAAAAAATATATGATACTATGCAGCAGATTTCACCATGAAAATAAACAGTTAATCATAGTTTTGAAACAAACTGAAGTTTATGGTTCAGAACTATCTTCGTGCCTTTTTCGCTTCAAATATATTTTTTCACAAATTTTTTTTCACCTTCACCTACCTAAAGCTATACTAATTTGATTTCTTCTAACTCATTTATATTTAACATATTAACCTTTCTGGAATAGCTATGGCTTTTGATTAATTCCTGCAGGGTCTGGTTACCAGGCAGTTTTATACTTTTTGGCTCACACAATATTTAACGCTTTCACTACAAGTGGGTTATATGCATCTCAGCAAATTCATGGCCTGCTGAGATATATATAAAAATTGAGACACCTCTATCCCATTATACTCCGAGAAACTATCCTTAATTAAAACCATCAGATTTCATTAAATCTGCACTACATAAAATTAGCATGGTAAGTATGCGACTACTGCTTTTAGTTAATCATTTTTTAGATAGCATCATTAAATTGGTTTAGTTCTAATGATTTCTTCATCATTCTAGTTTATCACCCATTTGAATATGAAAACTACTGAATTTCTTATTTTATGAAGCTTTTGAAATTAAAATTTAATAGAATTAAAAACTTAATACATTTTAAAAATTAATGGAATCATTTTCAATTATGTATTCTTAATTATTTGCATTTAGTTTCATATTTAAAAATAATGTTTTAGTTGTGCCATCTAAGAAATAAATAATGGTACTTGTGTATCATCCTGCTTTCCATGAAATTTGGCAGAGACCCCCCCCCCCAAAGTTGTGGCAATAGTTCCTGCATGCATATTTATTTAATAAAAATGAGCATGAAATATTTTATCCTTTTTTTTTTTTTTTTTTTTCCTTCCTAAAAACGTTTCTGTCAGCTTCTGCTATTTTGTTGAGCCCTCCAATTTTATTGGAAGGTCTGTTTAGAACTTTTATGAGCACAAACTTCCTGCAGATATTTATTGCAATCTATTACTGTTATGTCAGCTATATTTAGCTACACATACTGTGTCCATTAGCATACTTTCTTCTATGGTAAGATTCCATAATTTGGTTGTAGTTCTCCACCGTTAGGAAAAACTCCACTGTTAGTTGTTCTGTAGAAAGCAAGTCTCAAATTGTTATAATTTTTCTTTCAAAATGGAAGGAAAAATACAGCAACAGTAATTAATTTACATCTTTTTTCATAAAAACAAAATTAAACTTATCAAGAATCAATCTGGGTCACATGAAACGAAAGTACAAATGTCAAAAGTGCATTGTTACATCACCCTTGTCCATAACTGGAATTAAATCATACTGCTTGATGACAGTTTCATGATCAATGGGATAATATATAGGTTCCTAAATAACTAACTATAACAACAATGATAACAAAAGTTTAAAAAAATTGTAGTGAAAGAATTAGCATATTTTTTAATTGTCAGACTGTATATATAACTTAAATTTTCCTTTAAAATGCCATAACTAATTTTTGCATATCTTTTATATTTGGTTTAAAAGGCCTTAGTGTAGAATTGGGTGCCCCTTCGATTGGCGACATTTTTTTAAAATTTTGGCGATGAAACTTCACTTCTGGTTACCACGACAATTTTAAATTTGTTTTAGCTTCCCGATTTTATTTAAATGAAAAGAGATTGATGTGTACATGGACATATTTAAGGCAGTGCGCAATGCCTAGTTTGTGCAATTCTAGGATTTTTTTTAAGTAAAAACAGATCGATATGTACATGGACACAGATCTTATGCAATTCTTCGACTTCTTATTTTGGTTTTGTGTAGCGGCCATCTTGAAATTGTGACTTCCTGGGCCAATCTTGGTGTCAAGAAAGAATCGCCAATAAACAAGGGGCACCCAATTGTAAACTTTTGCCATCTAAAATTATATAAAAAGGTCAGATAATATTAGACTTACAGTACGAAGCATCTGAACTGCATCAGTTGAATTGAATTTTCTGGCTAGAAAAAGAACAAACAGTTGTTCAAGAACTTGTATTAAAATCATAAAAATTTACATTACCATAAACTAACCTTGAAAACCTGAAAGTTCATGTACCAAAACCTGAAATTTGGAAGTTTGAACTATGCAGCGATGCCATTTGCAAAGAACTCCAGATTGATTTAAGCTTGCTTTATAATAGTACACGATTTGGGTTATTCAACTATTTATAAGATGTTTCTGATGAAAAATATATTCATATTTAATTTTATGTTCATGGGCTAATTTCATTTTGTAATTTTCTTACACTTTTATGCTGAAAATAAAATTAATAACTAATGTACATACTATTGCACAGATAAAACTATTAGTCTAATATATATTAATACAAAATAAAAATTTTAATTGACTAAATATTGGTTGATTTCTCATAAATAATTCTATAAATGTTTACAATAGATACAGACAATTTTAATTTAATCTTTTTTTAATAAAAAAAGATTAAATTAAAAATCACTAAGGGTAGGGGGAATGAAATTTGCCCATTTTAAGTTTCATTACTTTGATAAATTTTAGTTACAACTGTGAAATATTTTTCTTGGTAAAGGCTAAAAATAGAAAATGGAGAACCAGTGATCTACCAGGAAAGCATGTTGAAACACTTCAAGTCTTTTGGTAAAATTAAAAATGTTAGCAGCTATGTATTACACATTGAAGTCTATTCTATTGTACATCATTTTGAAATGTTCTCAATAAAGATAAATAATAGTAGGCTGTGTGAATCACACAAAGTAAACAAAACATATAGCACTTTTTTAAATTCATTAAAATTCTGCACTCAGATATTCATGTTTAAATTGCAGTTTCTGATTATCTGCACCCGCACTATTAATATAGCGAACTTGCTGTTTGGGCATCTTTATACCCAGAGCTTAAATTTTGTTGGAGTCCACCAAAGCTGGGCTTCAGTACTTCTCAGTTTTTGAAGTAAGCCGTAATTCTAGCCAGAGGGCCCCGAAACCTTAAATAAAAGGGCTCTGGTACTTTTTTTTATGCAAATTAACCATAATTTTAGCAGAAAATTTTAAATTTATCAACAAATAAGCTTTAAAAATCGATTCTAACTTCTGAATGCATGCCTATCTTTTTCTGAGAAATAAACACTTTGACGACTTAGGTTAAGACGTTTAAGGAAAGAAACGTCTTCTACCTACATGTCTAAGGCTTATTCTGCAGGAAATGCATTAAATTTATGAGATTGGGTAAAGTTTTTGTCCTCAAAAGTAAAACCTGGTCATGCACGTACAACACTTGTACGTGCACACTTGTATAGAGCTTAATATTTTTTATGTTGTTATGGAGTTGGATTCAGGGCAAGTTCTTTTCCTTGTCACTCTGCTTGACAAGAATTATATCGACTGGGGATTGTGGTCAGACAGCGTTGAACTCTTCTCTTTTGTTTTCGACACACTTCTCTGTTAAAATTTCCGTCCATACTCTCATAGTGTTTCTAGTATTCTATTTTCATTACGATGCTTCAACAGTTTTACCTTTTTTCATTGGCATGTTGGAAAAAGAAGAGTCCTTTTTCTATCATTCTTTGCTGTCTATATGTCATATTGTCTGTTTCTATCATCACTTGATACTTTCTTTCTTTCCACAGAGTCCGGTCCACTGGGTAGTTAGTATATCGGCCAGGTAGCCCGGCTGACGGAAATAACTTGAACAAAAGACACACTTATAAATACATATTGTGCTCAAGACGACTGCTGGGGGCAGTGCAAACAAATGCTGGACGAAGACGATAGTGCATGATGGAAGAAGGGTGCATTGCGGGCGTGAAGAACAATTCCAGTTACATATTTACAGAGTAAAGGATAGGTGGTTACAAATACTAAAAGTAATAAGAAGTAAAATACTAGAAAGTAAAACAATGCATAAAATAAAAAAAAAAAAAAGGCAAAACAGTGGAAACAAATACATAAAATAAGGCAAAATACATAGTTCAAGGTTCATAATTCAAGGTTTACAGTTCAAGAAGATAAACATATATACAGGGAATAAAAAGAAAGCCGAATAAGCTAACTTAAGATAAAATTAGTTCGCTACAGGTACAGAGCATACAGGGCTGTGCTGGTGACGAGGATGGTGGCTGAGAATTACTCCAGCCTGTCTGAGATTGTGCGTGCAATGTTTATGCAATCGCATATGCGTTTCAATGCATTGCGATTTTTTTTGAAGTAGCTTCGGCCCATGCATGGATGTGGTTTGCTACTGGTTGCCTAAGATGATATTTAGCGGTCTCTCTGCAAGCGAACAGATAGTGGTCCGGATCTCCTACCATCCCGCATGAGCAATGCTCGTTTTCGCGTCATCTGAAGCGATGCAGGTAAGTCATGAAGGGACCATGTCCTGTTAGATACTGAGTGAAGTGAGACGAGCCAGATTTTAGAAGCCGGCAGACTTTTGGAAAAAATCTGTAAACTCTTCTGCCAGTGGTTTCTGTCTCCCACAGATGTTGCCAAAGTTTGAGTAATTCTCTCTCGAGCTCAGCTTTTAAGAACGAATCCGGGAGAGGCACGTCAAGTGTGCGAACGTGGGGGTCAGTTGCTGCTCTTTTGGCTATTGCATCTGCAATTTCATTACCCAGTATTCCAGTGTGGGGAGGTACCCACTGGAGTTCAGGCCTATAGTATTTAGGTGTTCTTAGTAAGAGTTTTTGTATGGCCCTGATGAGTGGATTTTTACTACATTTGCCTTGGATTGTGCCTGGAGGCTAGAGGCTGAGTCTGAATATATACTGGAATAGTTATTTTCCAGTGCGTAGACAAGTGTAGCTTTTAATGCAATCAGTTCAGCCTGAAAAACTGAGTTGTGGTGCTTAAGCTTTCTTTCCCAGGTCTTTAAGATCTGGTTCCCAAGTAGAACACAGTATATCCGCTACCAGTGCCACATTCTCCTTTGGAACCATCGGTGTAGATTGCAGTGGCGTTGAACCACGTTGGTGACCTGCAGTTAATCGAGATATTGAATTCGGCCGGTGGCAAGGTGGCTCGGGAATGCTTTGCTCATAGTCAGTTAAAAACATAAGTTCTATCCCATAAACTTATTGTCTCTTTGAGTTGGAGCACTTGCACTATTGCACTCTCGCGCTGAGCTAAGAGATGCAGAGGCAGTAGTCCTGAAATCACGTTTAGAGCATTAGTGGGCGAGGTTTTATATCCTCGGGTAATGCTCAGGAGGAATGGTCCTTTGTGCTGAGCGTAGCAGATTCTCCATTTTAGTAGTGATCGTTATGCCCCACATGGAGGCTCCATATAGTGCAATACGTTTCAGCAACTATAGAGTACCACGTCTTAAGCATCCTCGAAGAAACTCCCCATGTTGGTGCTGCTGTTCTGTTCTGAGCATGGAATGAAATATCCTGTGAAGTCGTGCCTTGACCTCCTTTAAATGTGGCATCCAAGTCAATGGGTCGTCAATTATAACTCCAAGGTACCTCAAGTTTCTGACTATTTAATATTTTCCCATGAAGGTTGATGCACGGGGTTCTTCGATGGCACTTACCTGGACAGATAAGCATACCTTGGGTTTTTGAGTTGGCAATAGTTAACTTATGGTCATTGGCCCATTTGGCCATCTTGTCCATTGCTTGTTGTGCCCTAGTCTCATATGCGTTGCGGCTGTGCCCTTTGGTTACCAGCAAAAAGTCATTGGCATAAGCCAGTATTTTTAGTCCGTGTGAGGATCTGTGTTAAAGAGAGTCAGCGCTGTGTCCGCTACAAGATTCCAGAGCAGTGGACCCAGACAGGATCCTTGAGGACAGCCTCTATTGATGGAACGTGAGTGTGCACTCCTGCGTCCGTAGTGGCTTGTAAGCGGCGATCACTTAGGTAGCTGTAAATAAGGTCAAAGAGAATCTTAGGGCTACCCATGTCCTGTAATCTCTTCAGTACATCGGGCCACCACAACGAGTCGATAGCGCCCTGTATATCCACAGAGATAATGAGACTATGTTGGTTATTTATTCTGTTATTTGCTATTAATTTTCGTAGGTGCTGCAGCGCGTGATCCACTGATCTGCCAGGAATGAAGCCGTATCGTTTGTCATTTATGCTTTGTCCAGACAGGATATAGTGTTTAAGTCTTTGAAGGACGACTCTTTCTAATACTTTACCCAAGGCAGGAAGAAGGCAAATAGGCCGGTAAGACGTTGGTACATTAGGGTCTTTTTTTTTTTTTCGCTTTGAGGAAGAGCACCACCTCACCAAGTTTCGTGCCGGCTGGGAAATATCTGTTGCGCCAACACGCAGTGACAGTGATGTAGGCAGCAGTACCTCCGGATGCATACTGTTAATGGCTTGCAGAATGCCATTATCTATCCCATCAGGACCTGTGCTTTATTGGTGTTTAAACGCGCTTTAACAATGTCGCTTATTTCTTTGGCGTTAGGCAGTGGTTCAAAATCTGTCTTCTTGGTATTGTAATATTGCTCAACGCTGGCTCTGATATTTCTTTGTGCGGGATTATCTGTGTCTGCGTTATCAGGTCTAAAGATATTGTCCAGAATGTGCGCAACTACTTCTGTGCTAGTTGCTGCTCCGTGGCTTATTGTGGCAGTAAGATTAGTAGGTGTAAACATCTTGTCATGTGCAATACGGAAGACAGTTCCAAACTTATTCGCAGTGTCGGTACAGTACTCTTTCCAGGATGAAAACTTCGCTTTGGCAATCTGTCTTTTGTAAGCAGCTCTGTGCTTTCGAAAAATTAGCGAGTGTGTCTCTCTTTCTAAGGGATCCTTGCATGCTTGCATTTTGCGGCTTAGGGCACGGACTTTGCTGCATTCAGCAGTCAGCGTGGTGCTCCACCAAGGAGTGCGTTTCGGGGCTGTGTAATGTTTCCTTTTCTAGACTTTTTCGCACACTGAGAGCAGTGTTTGCATAAGATCTTCATGCATGGCGTCGATGTCTTTACTACTGTTGCAATTGTTACATTGTGCCACAAGCTACTTATTAGTTTT